TGCACGAACACCAACTATATGTAAAACTAAAACTAGATTACCACATTCACCTCGGGCCAAAACCTTTATTTCACAGCTAGTACCATAATCCAAGATTGCTGTATGTTATTACATCATTAGGGAGTAACAGTATCATTACAATGGGCACTTAGTAATACAAACATTCCTTTACGATAACTCAAGTTATCAAGTAGTCAAATCAAGTGTAGTAAGAGACTGTAAATGCTGTGATACAATCTAAATTACTACACAAACTAAATTACAGAATTGTTAGTTCTGGTTAGTTTTTGAAAAGCTTAAAACACACACACACACACACACACACACACACACACACACACACACACACTCTTGTAGACCATTCCACTGTGTTTGAGGTTCCCCTATTTTAACCAACCCGAAATAAAATAAACAGCAGGTGAACTATGAACCAGGTTTTAGTTCCCCCATGTTAACTAGAAACCAAGAACTAAAAATAGCCGGCAATCCAAATCCTTTAAAGAAGATTCCATTAACTAATTTGAAATCCTCTTTGAAGATTACTAGACCACACCTGCAAGAGGCAGACATATTTGATGTAGGGGTTGCAAAGACACCAAAAAAGACAAAAGTTACACTGAAATAATGAAATCAAAAACAGTTTTTATATATGGAACAAATGCTGGAAAAAGTCAGCTATTGTAAATCAGTGTTTCCCAACCCAGTCCTCAGGGACCCTCAGACAATCCAGGTTTTTGCTTCCTCCTAGCTCTCTGTCAGACAGTCCAGGTTTTTGCTCCCTCCCAGCTCTCTGTCAGACAGTCCAGGTTTTTGCTCCCTCCCAGCTCTCTGTCAGACAGTCCACATTTTAGAGAGTTGAGAGGGAGCAAAAAACGAGGCCTGTCTGGGGGTGTCTGGGGACCCAGTTGGGAAACACTACACTAAACCACCATGTTACAAGACTTCCACTTACAGGCATGATAACCTTTGTGTTAATGTACTGCTCCTCTCTTAGACCCTGCAATAGGAACCAACTATTGCAGCATCCGTTGTTACGCCACAAGCCCAACCGACACAGTTCTTCAGTAAGACCTGGTGAGAACCACTAACATTCATACTACATGCATTGCTTACATGCATTAAATCCATTTCAATTAAACACATTCCATTCATTTTCGGCAATACCATGATGATTCTGAACACACGTTTTATGGTCCATAAACACCCAATAAAAAATGAACACAAGCGCAAACTGATGTCAAAAGAATTTAAAATAAAACAATGTTAATAAATCTACCCTATAAGGTCAGGATGCAACACAGACAGTGTTATTTAGGCAAGTTCAGTTTGAAATTGCGTATTTCCTGGATTTTAACCCTCATTTTTACCTAATTTTAGGTGCCTAAACAGTTTATTATCACATATTGTAAAGGTAATATAACAAATCAATTAAGAAGAAACATTATTTGCAATATTTTTTAAAAATCACTTGCATTCTATGTTGTTTCAGCTTATGCAGATAAACAACTGGTTGAACCTTGGGTACAGACATCTGCCGTCTCCATAGTACAGGACCCAACCCCCCTCTTTGCAAACCAGAATGTTCAGAGGGCAATCTAATGTCCATCGAATTTATACACAAAGGTGACTTACTGTACAAATAATTACACCAACTTAATTCTATGTAGCAAAAAGAAAGTAACACTTAACAGCTGATCAACACACAGCAGTATCAGCTGAAGGGCTTAATAAAATAAAGAAAGTGCATAGGAAGCGACTGATTTAAGCCACATTCTCATTCATAGAAATCCCATCTCCTATAATAATGAAGATGGAACATTAACACTAACGAGAGCAAGATCTATCAGTGGCCTTGTTCACCTCAGTGATACTGCTCTGACGCAAGTCCACACCTGGTAATGTGCCAACGTCTCTTCAACCTTTAAAGCAGTGGTGGTTACCATCAAAGAGCATGCCCAAACAATAAAGCTTCAGACCACGGCATGACACCATGTATGTATGTCGGTATTTAATAAAGAAATTATTTATCAGGTTTGATTTGCCGTTATAGAAACTGTATTAGTGCGCACATTGATAATTGAATAAACACATTTTATGGTCATACTTATATTCAGGTTATACATTTAGCTTTTGGATTCAAAACAAAAAAAAATCGTTCTGCTTTTCGGTATGCTGGCACAGGAATGTAGATATACTAGGAATATGGCTGATTTAGTAACTGTATCAACAATGATTTTTACAAGTTAAGCAATTAAAATTCAAAGATTTTTGTAGGTTTGTTGCACATTTTAGATATGTGATATTTAACTAGTCAGTCAGCACCATAGACCCAAAGGCCACTATTACTGGAGTAGTATTATACATTTCTAAGTCCTGCAAATGTCACAAACGAGTTCCACGGCAAGTATCAAGTATTTATGCAGTTCAAAATGCAATAAAACTCGCTTGACTTCGTTGTTCAGGTACGAGGAAGGGCACGGTATGTTACCTTGGCTTCATCTGCATACATCGGTATATCGTGGAAGGGTGAGACGGGTTTCCCTTCTGCATTCTCTGCAGGCACACGATATGTAATCAGATAAGCATTTAAGGTGATTGTTTCCTTTTTTTGTAAGAAGCTATTTAAACACGCAAGAAGATCGATACCCTGCCACATGTTACAAGTGATTCAGCAGAAATAACGCTTTACGTTGCATATCATCATGCAGTTTCTTTCATTGTACATTCTTTTCATTTTAAAGCATACTGGAACTGGCACCATGCAGTATCTAATAGAGAATTACTTTAATTGAAAAGGCGGCTGGTTAATATCTACCAGCACTTACGCTACTGCCGGGCTCGGGTTCACAACGTTACCACACCGGAGCGCTTCGTCACGCTACAGTCTAAATGCTAATGAATGGTAACGGGTGAACAAAAGTAATAGAAAACTGGTACTCACTGAAAAACACCCTAAAGTCCAGAGTGTTTGGCTTTCCTCTCTCTTCCGTAGTGTAACTCATGGTTATACAGCTCTTTAATGAGTCTCCAGATGCAATACTCCCGTCCAACGGTCCTCCTAACGCTGGGCGCACAGCCGTCACAGAGGGACCCGTAGGAGGGAAGCGCGTGCAACGCGCATGCGCGAATGAGCGAATGCGCAACCAATGGCAACGTGGCCATGATGCATTTCGGCGGCGTTTCTTGGAAATGGTCGATTTACTGCACGTGGTCATGTGTACTATCCGATGCGGCACATTCCACTGCATACAGTCTTGTTTCGATTTTTATTGTGACGATTTCTACCTATGTACACACTATATTCAGATTACAAACAAGAAATAAATCATTAAAAAAAATTGCCATCAACTTCAAATTCTTCGATTTTCTTTGTACGCAAAACTATACTTTTCTCTTTTCGTTGTAGGAAAACCAATGTCTTATGTACTACTGAACATTAAATTAAGGTTTGGTACTTTGGTGGGCTTAGAATTCCTGAAATTTCTGTCAGTTATTCTTAGTTACAGATCCTTAATTTAATTTAAAAATTAGTAAGAAATTTACCAACCAAAAGGATACGTGAGTTGCACTTTAAAAATACCACTTGCATGTAGAACCCTGGCACCAATGGCCGCACCATGCTTATTTTCACATCATCCTTGTATTCTAGCAATGTGCATAACAACCTTAGTATATAGGAGTAAAAATATATACCTTTACTAAAAAAACATAGCAGCTTCCAGCAGATGGAACTGACTGGTCTAAGACACCTGCTTAAGACAGGAACCATATCGGGGCCATTGTCCTTCACCACGTACATCAAATGGTAACTGTTAAAAGTCTAACATACTTTTAATCAAAGTGTTCGGTTGTATATATGATTTTGTATTTGGTTAGTGGCTTTAAGATTTTATCAGCTCAGTATAACTTGACAGGGAATTAGCAAATGTGTCCTTTTTAGGCTGAAGTGGTTTTTGTGTCTTAGTGAAGTATTTCAGTGCATAGTAATTGTGTGTTAGAAAGGAATTATAACCTAGTGGGCAGCACTTTTACCTCCCACTTCCTGGGTCATGGGTTCAGGTCCCACCTATGTTCTTTCAGTAACGTGTACATTTCCTCCAGCTACTCTACTTTCTTTTGTAATCCAAAAAACATGTGAACCATTAAATTGACTAATATCTCTAAATTGCCCACAGTGTATGTTTGCCCTGCAGTGGTTGTATCCTATCCTGGGTGTTGCCCGCCTTGTGCCCAGCTGTACCTGGGATATGCTGATATGATTTTTTCTTTTTCATTAATGTGATCATCAAGCACACAGAAGAGCATTCCTGCATTATGGTTCTCAAACATTTCAAAACATTTATCAACTGAGTAAACAGTAGCCACTTCATGCACCAGTAGCAGAGTTGGTGTGTGTGTGTGGGGGATATACTGTAAAGGATCCTACATTTGGGAGTCAAGACTTCGTGGCGCAATGGCAGCGCATCTGACTCCAGATCAGAAGGTTGCGTGTTCAAATCACGTCGAGGTCAATGTGTTTTTAGTGGGGGGTGATGTGTAGCCCTTTGGTTTAAGCCTCTGTGCCTGTGATCAGTAGCTGGCAGAGTGATTTCCACAGTGGGCGCTGAGCAAGGCCCTTGACCGCCACTGATCCAGGAACAGGCTGACTCCACTCTCTCACATATACATCGTTTTGAAGGCGTCTGATTACACTGTAGATTCCTGCGCTGCTTTATATATAAGGCTTTTTTCTTGACTAATCCAGCTGATTATACTAATTGTGTTTTGCAATCAATATTTTAGTTCAGATGACCAGCCTTTGGACAGAGGAAGCAGTTAGGGGACATCCGTTAAACATTGGGACACATTTAAAACCTCAACATGGTTACCTGTTTTGTAACATCACTAAAGAATTTTTTTGGTTAGCAGATTGGTTCAGGTTCCATTTCTGGATAGGTATCATCAGGCGCGAATTAAGATCAATTTTTTAAAACACGTAGGGCACAGAAATGTAAAATGTATTGTGCAAAGAAAATGTTTTAACGTTTTTCATTTTTTTATATGAGGCAAAATCCAGTCATCTCCATAAACAGTACATGCAATTGAATTCTCAGTTGTATTCAAGGCATGAAAAACAAAGAACTGTCCAGGCCTGAACACAGTGCTACATGTTGCATTATTCCCCAAGCTGAAACCCAATACAAATTCAAAGGCTAAAACATTCTCCTGCAGTTTATCGGACAATAGCAATATCTCTTGTGATAACTGATGGAGTGTTTCTTTATGGAGGACATTTGTTTGAACAGCTTGGACAGCATATACTTACAGTCAGCGTTATGAATCAATTTAAGTTCAACTATAGATTCAGAGATTCAATCCAAGCCAAAGGTTAATCCTGCTCTAGGCAAGTTCCTTTCTGGAGTTCATCAAGGTCTAAAGCCCATTTTGATGGGTTTTACAGCAAACTTCCACCTGACATATGCCTAGATAAGTTCACTGCTCTTTGTTAGAACAAAAGTATTTCATTTCCATCAGATTGTCATAATGGCATTGATCTCACAAGTCCACAATGGAAGATAAACAACACTCAGAATATAAAATGCATAATAAACATTCATGTTTCACTCTGTAGCAAAATAAATAAGATCTCATCAAAAAAATCACTTAAGGCATCTTGAAAATGAAGATTGTGGTTCTTGTCCCATGCAAATGCAGCTTAGACCAAACATGCTTCTTATTCATCGTCTGTTGTTAGCAGCTCAAATTTAAGGGACGGTCGAACAGCAGCAAAGAGGCCTTTGTCCAGCGGGTTGGATTTCATGTTGATGCTCTGGAGTGCAGGCATGGAGGAGAGCTTCCCGACCGGCACGTCTGTGTAGCAAAAACAGAGAGGGTACTACCTGGTAAGAGAACACACGGAACCATTGACAACACCTCGCTATTCCGTTAAATAAGCCATTCCACTCCCGCACCTATAATTCTTATTCGTTAATTATTGTTCTCCGTAAACATGGCTGCTCTAGCCAAGACACACAACCTGTTCACGGCAGTTTCTGTTCCATTTCTTCCTTATCTAAAGCTCCAAGTTCCACTATCTTTCATCCTCCAGCAAAAATTAAACCATTTGCATTGGCAATCTTCTCTCTTCAATGATATCAATCACAGATATCTTCAACAGTATGGTCAATGTCCTCTTTAACCACACCCTACTGGTTACGCTCCACTGGTCCTTTTTATTGGCTTAAGGGTAAGATATCCTATTTCTTCACCAGTAGCCTCATTTCTGCATTATCCTGTACCGATTCTGCCTTTCCATATAGATCATGTGATTAAATCCCTACCCATCCATAGGCCCCAGGGCCCAGGGCCACCAACAGCAAGGCTGTCAGCAATCACTTATCCTGAAAGCTGTTCTCCACAAACTTGATGTGACACCTGACTGATGTTCCTTCACACACCATTCTGTAACCCAACTCTTAGTGGTGGGATGCTTAAACAAAGCACAAGATCATGTGTCATATATTTCAGTGTGCACTGTTGTGCAAAATAAGATTTAAAAAAATCCTTGTTTGTAAGAACACCCAAGACAAACATTTAAACTTAAGACAGCAAAAAAAGACAAACACTACTGGATGTCAGGATGTCTCACAGTTTAGACAATCATTGCTTATTGTTGTTTGCTCAATTATTTATGTAGCAACTACAGAACCACTATGAATTCATGCAATCATAAAATGCACTTTTCAATAACTGTTTTGCGCATAAACTGCCATAAGCATTTTAAGTGACTGAACAGAAATTGTTCCTTCCTCTCTCTAAGAGCTATTTTAGTTTTATTTACCGGTGATTTCATTTCCTTCCAAACTGATTTTCTCAAGGGTTTGGATTTCCGCCAGTTTTTCGGGAAACAAAGAAAACTTGTTTCTCGCCAGGTTTATGCTTGTTAGGTGCTGCATCTCACCCACTGAATCTGGGAGCTTGCTCAGAACATTACCTTCTAAATCCAATTCTGAAAAACAAGAAAGACAGGCCAATTCACTTACTCAACAAATGTATACTAAAATGTATCATTTCAAGTTAAAATGTATCAAATTAAAGTTATAAATAATAAAATAACAAAAAATTTACAATATAAAACAATCATTCAATGATCATTGCATCCATATGTCATGCCATTTTACAGTTTTTTTAAAAAACATGGTCTCTAGAACAATAGCACAATCAAGCACAATCACTGAGTTATGTGTGTTTAACCAGTGACCTCACTGCTGCAGTGTTAGAAACCCAGTGAATGACACTATTTTAATATGCAGAATATGTATTCTTATTCTACAGTTGAATTCATTTTTTTTTCTGAGACAGTGTCTTAAATATATCTTTTTAATTGCATTCTGGATTCTCTTTGTTACTACAAGTCTAATAAGAGGCTAAAGAACGAGGATAAACTATCTGTACAAACAATGGTGTACAGTGGTGTCTTGTCGTATGTAAAACCCAAACATTGCGTCAAACGTTGCAGAGATAACGTACCTCTTAACTGAGTAAAGGTGGTGAAAAACTTGCTACTAATAGCTTTCAATTCATTGTTTGCTAATGTGATGACAAGAATCTTGTCATTTACAGTCCTTAGTACTTTGAAGACTCCCTCTGGAAAACTAATCAGTTTGCAGTTTGAAAGATCTATATGGAAAAGAGAAAGAAACAGCACAGTGAGGGTAACACTGAAAACTGTGCAATACTGACACCTGTTGTCTCAATGTAGAACTGCAATAATTTTCATTAGCTCATGCTATCCCATCATCATCTGCCTGCAGCAAGTACGTAAATGTATGTTCATGTCAATGTTTGCTGTGCTAGAGTTGTCAGGGATCTATATTCAAACCACTTGAGCTATGAAATGGTTATTTTCATATCAAACCATCTTCTTGAATATCTAATCCAGTACAGGGTTGAAATCCTGAACAGGATATCAGTCTATGTTGCCTTTCTCTTTACAAAGTTCCATCTCTAAGAGTTTTTACTCAAGACTGGGCATCATCTACAGCATTAAGAGACTAGGCGCTCCTTGAGGATTTAATTCTGCATATATTGTGGCAATGCAGAATATGGGGGATAACCACACTTTCCTTGTACTTACCCAGTGTGTCTTTCTGTTCTTCCACGGTGGCGTTGATTCTTCTGGCCACGTTCGCCACAGCTTCCCCCATCTTATCACGGACTGCCACACTTAAGGGAGGCTTGGGTCTGCTTCTGAAAGGCAACGGGTGCGAAACTTTGCTAATGGTAACGGTGGGAACTTAGCAGATGATCCAACCCTTGTATGTAGGCTGGAGGAAGATGCACAGAGACGTCCATCCATCCATCCATCCATCCATCCATCCATCTATTTAAACCACTTGTCTTACTCAGGGTTATAGGAAGTGCAGGGCTTGTTTTTTATGAGAGGGAGAGGTTAGATCTCTGCCTGACAGGGCAGAGAAAAAACAATATTTCTAAAAAGACAAGCTGAATTAGAAGGTCACTCGTACGAAGGAGATTTAACCTGTACGGAGTTATTAGTAAAGCTGATTTTCCTTTGACTATTTTATAGAAATTTGTCGTGAGTGTAAGAACATGATTAGCCAAGACATCCTTCAGTCTGTATGTTATAGAAGTAGAACGTAACCTGACATTTGCTTTTGAGTTTACTAGCTTTGGAACATGTGACCAGCATAAACACTATTCACCCCAATTTTGAGCTTATACATCAGGTCAGGTCAGGTTGGGGAGCACCGACCAGACGAAGAAACACATCGGGATTCCAGTTGGCAGCCCCTCCCAGGCCGACACGCGGCCCAGTCCCACCCTCCGGAGATGGCCATCTATCTGCAGCAGCCACGTGTTACATGGGCGTCCCCTCGGCCTGGCCCAGCCACTTGGGTCCCCAGCAATGAGGATCCTGTGAGCCGGATCACCCTCAGGGAAACGCGCCACATGGCCGTAGTGCCCTAACTGACGCTCCCTCACAATGCAGGTAATGTGCCTCATTCGGGACTCCTCTACCAACCGCTCATTCGACACAAATCAAACCAGCAGTACCCAAGGATTCTCCGAAGAGACACAGTACCAAAGGAGTCCAGTCTTCGTCTCAGCTCACTGGACAGCGTCCATGTCTCACAGCCATACAGCAAGACAGGGAGCACCAGGACTCTAAAGATTTGGACCTTCGTCCTCTTGCAAAGATATCAGGAGCCACACAGCCCTTTCCAGTGACCTCATGACCCCCCATGCTCTCCCAACCCATCTGCTGACTTCATAGGAAGAGTCACCAGAGGCATGAATGTCGCTGTCGAGGAAATTCAACCTCTTGATGTGATCGACATCGTCTCCGCAGACAGACATTAACGGCCTGGATCTTGGTTTTTATCCAGGACACTCACAAGCCCAGACACTCAGACTCCTTGCTCAGTCTTTGAGAGCCCCAACCAGAGCCTGCATTGACTCTGCAAAGAGTCAATGTACATGCATTATGAATTAATACTTGGGCTCCAATAAAATCCAATCCATGTTAAATATTTTTCATATCAGAGTAACTAACTGGTTCTTGTACTTCAAAGACGCTAGCTAATTTAACGTTAGTATTGAAGTTATTCAAAGGCTTTGGCTAAGAAGTTCACTTATGAATGGAATATTATCCAGATGAACACCATGATGCAACATCCCTGTTATAGTTCTATAGAAATAATACAGCTCATAAGAGATGGTGTATGGCAAGTGAAGTCATACAAGAGCATGAAAAGGAAATCAATATTTGAACATGGGGTGAAGTGGGCTGTTCCTGTTATCGGAAGGTCGCGGGTTCGAGCCCAGTCTTGGCAGAAAAGCCGTGTCTGTGGGTCCCTGAGTAAGGTCCTTATCCCCCAGCCCCTGGGTGCCACAAGATGAGCCGTTTGCAGCCAAGCATGCTCTCACCTACATGCATTTCATGGAGAGCAAGAGGAGTGAAAAGAGAATTTTACAACAGGGATCAATAAAGTATTAATTATTATTATTATTAACAAATCAAATGTTTACATTCACAAATATTACAATTTTAATGCTGCATGTATTTCCGATACACATTCAACAAGCACCACCATTGTACAGACGTGTTTGCACTGAAGCTAATCATTAATAATAATATGATAAACTACTAATTTGAACAGTTAAGCCAATGCAATTAAAACAAACATAGATACATACATACAGTCATCAGCAGCTCGAGTTTAAAAACAGTGCCATATGGTGCCTTATTGGTATGGCAGACCCACAGGTTCCATAGTCAAATCAAGAAGTCTTTGGGATGTAAGACATGCGGAAACATTTCAGAAAACGTGAGAATTGTTAAGTCCACTAGTACAGCCCAGGCGCATAGCCAGTAATGGGCCAGGGCAGCACTGGCCCGCCCACATTACTCCCTGGCCCACCCAGGCAAGTTTGATCAAAATACATTTTTAGTTTATTTTTATTATTCAAATGTATTAAAAAATATATATTCATATAAACCTGATTTATTTATTTCAAACCGTTCTCTGCTGAGAGTTTTCATTATTTTAATTTCTTTTACTTTTAGCCTACTTTATTTTCGGGTGAACTGTCTGCTCTGCACTGCTGACTAACCTGAATAAAATAGACAGGTTATTGTCTATGCTGGTGGTTTGTCTAGCCTTTATTGAGCACTGTTGAACATGATGGTTAGACGGTGTTTTGTTATTGCCTTTGCCGAATATTGCAAAATAAAGGTGTGTTTTTGCAGTTTGTTTGTCTATTATTTTTTCTACTCTCTAAGGTTTAATTATTATTTAAGTAATATTTTTTCTAGGAAAAAATATAGGCCCGCTCACTTTTTCAATGGTCCGCCCAAAATACAATTTCTGCCTACGCCACTGGTACAGCCTATTGAATCAGAAGTGCTTCATAAAATGTGTAAATGTAGGATCTTGTCATATATACTGTGTAAACACAATGTTCAGTCTCATCACACGCACAGACACACACTATAGTTTTAAATTAAATGGAATCACCCCAAATATCAGGCCTTCCTACAGAATTTTGAGCACGAGGACTGAGGTTTAAGACTTCCCTAGTCATTTCATTTGGCTATTTAAATATTTTTAATTTTTTGTTATTCTAACAAGATTTCTAAAAAAGAAATAAGAAAATACGATAAATAGCCAGCCCATTTTAAGGCTTATCAGATTACATTACTTGTCCATTTATGTATAATAAAAAAAAATTATAACACTGTTTCACTTCTATGTCGTATGTATTTAAAACTCACCGAGCTGCCGAATATTATTCAGCATCAAGGTATAATCCTGCAATGCACGACTAGTTAAGCTAACTTACCCAATGCAAATCTACTCCTTCCTCTGCAGGGCCGGATAGCTAAGTCTACACCGCGGTCCCAGCAACACGAGGAACCTGCCCCCCCTCAGCTCGCGAACCAAACGATTCCAAGCTCTGGCGACAAATCTGCAAAGTTGCGTGTATTTTTAGCAGCCACAACAGCTGCATTTGCCGATCGTGGCAGTGATATGCCCTGAATCCCTTTAAACTAGCTATCCTCCCTATCTAAACCGGAGCCGTGCACATGCAGAGCAGCAGAACCCCAGTCCACTGCGCTACAGTAACTCGATCCCCACCACCTGACTGTCATTAAAACACCGCACTGGAAGAAATTATTCTCGTTTCATGAAGTGCATAAAGCAAAAGTATGTATGCATACTTCCTGGTGAGAAGCAGGCGGATGAGCCTGCCGGGCGGACTGCTTTAGAGGCTGGAGGGGCACCGCAGCCCGGTCACCTCATTTCCTTCTCCTCGGTCGTGTTGTGCTTCCGGGCGGAAGGTTGGGGGGACTGTGCTGACGGCTGGGGGGAAGCGCGGACGGAGGGGGGAAATTAAAAAAGAACGAATAAGAAACACCCTAAAGTTCAAGCGAGAAACAAGAGGCGCCCCGATCGTCCACCTTTCCTCCGGATAACAACAGCGTCGCGGCTGCGGAAGCGTTAAAAGCGAAATGTCGGCCCGTCGTCAGTACAGTGAAAGCCGAGCCATCCCGACCAGGACGGTGCTGATCAGCGACACAACACAGCTACCTCACGATTACTGCACCACTCCCGGGGGCACGCTGTTCTCCACCACCCCAGGAGGTAACGGCGCCCAAGCCGCCTTCACCCGGGAGGCTGAGCGCTGGACGCGGTCCGGATGTCTGCGGCTTGTCGGCATGGGCCGCTGTTAAATCCTAACTGGTTGGCAGATGAGAAAAGTAAAACAAAGCCCCCGATAGACCCGCCATGCAATGCATGTAGATTAAAAATACATTGCGTGTGACGATTTCTCCACTCGTCCATCCATCCGTCTATGCATCCATCTCAGATGATCACGGGTCCGCGTTAAGGCAGTGCTAGCTCCGGAAAGGACTTTAATCAGAGGCTGCTCAAGTTAAATCGACGTTGCGACTAATTAGTGTTGTTAGTGTCAGTGGTGATCGGTTAACTCCGCTGTCCCGTTTGACTATGGTGCGGAGCCGGACCGCCGGTGTTCGAACTAAATGAGCGGCCGCGCGGAGATGGCAAGACAAAGCAAAGTGTTTCAAAAAGTCATTTATTGTTGTTTAATATCCTGGAGAAAATATTTATGTTTGAGAGTTTTAATGTCACTTGTCGAGCTGCAAAATAACTGTTAATAGGCTACCTTCGGAATTGAGTATTATTTTTTTATTCCGAGAAAATCAATACGAAGTCTATTATTCTCCTCTGTCGGGTGCCCTTTCACCCCCACTTCTTTAGCAATGCTTATTCGTTTTCCCGACTCCACGGCTTTAATTGTTATGCGTCCTTTTCGTACGCACCTGTGCGAAATAATCAAGGCGATTTGTTAATGATGATCGTGCCGACAAAACAAAGCCAAGTGCGCTTCATTTCCTCAGGTACCCGCATAATTTATGACCGCAAGTTCCTGTTAGATCGGCGCAATTCGCCGGTCGCGCAGACCCCCCCGGCGCGGCTGCCAGCCATCCCGGGGGTGACCAGCCCGACTCTCATCGGCGACAACAAACAGACCGAAGCCACCAATCATGCGAACAACCACGACGGGAAGGCGACACTGGGTAACTACAATGAACGCAATAATAAACGATGTTTTTTTTTTTTTTAAACGTAAAATATAATCAGCTGACATTTATAATACAATATGATATATAATACGCAATATCTTCAATTCAGTCTCAAGAATTTAATGTCTAACCCTAATGGTGTTTTCCTACTGAGGATAATGATGAAAAATAACGTCAGCCTTATAAAGACTGTGGCTTCATCTAGCACAGGGCAGGGCCGTAGCCCTGTGTATCTTAGTTCGTTCCCTTTTCCGCCACAAATGATTCAGCTCAATAGCTGTGTGGTAATTAGCACAAGCAGCTGAATCAGGTGTGTTAAGTGATGGTAAACCAAAAATTGTGCAGGACTCCAACCCTCCAGGACTGGAGTTTGACACCCAGTACAGTAGAAATAATGCACTTTTCGGGGCTGCTAAGTAATTTTACTTTTGGGCGTACAATGCAAGTGACTTTCCTATACAATCCATTTTTTGTGTAGAGTAAATTGTCTTTTGTAATGTACCATATGCGTAATGTATACAATAAGTTCTGGCTCTTATGCATGGGTCAGACAGCTTAGTTGTATACCAAGAGCAAATGGAATCAAGAAATGTTCACTTATAAAACCTAGCCCACTTTAACAGATCACTGATTCTGCCTGGTAAAACAGGTCAGTGTTGAGTTTACTTGCCGTAGAATAAAAGTAAAACTGGAAATAGCATGATACCAAAGGCCCAGAGATGGGCATTGTTGTTGGACTTATTCTGTAGAAGATAAGCAGCCATTTAAAAGGTAAAATTGTACATCGTTTTGGAGAAGTCTCAGGCCAGCTTAAATAAGAGCTAACATATGAAATGTTAAACAAAACAAGAAGATGAATAACATAAAAAAAAACACTTTTTTCACGTTTAATATTGGATCCCCTATCCATATATAATATTAGCATAGTCACATGACCTTGCCTTGGTACATAATCATGAGTTTCTTTGTATATGCTTTTTTTTGTTGTTGTTGTTGTTTAAACCAATATTAACCTAATATGTGCCTTCAGAATAAGAGTCCTCACATATCTCTTTCTCGATTCAAGGCGAAGATGCTCAGTTTGAAATGGACATCTAAGAAGAGAAGCTGAGAAGATGCCTTCACCTAGCACCTGCTCGGAAGCACAGGGGCCTGTATAGACCAACGCCTATAGCTCTGCTGCTCCATAGCTGCTCTCTGTCCTTGGTAGCTGGGTGCAAGTTCTGTCTATTGGGTAGATGTAGAACCATAGGTCCCTCACAGTGCGATAAATGGGGAAGTCAAATTTTTCAGGTCATGTCACGGGCTAGATTTTAGTGTCGTATAATGTAACGCGGCTCGGCTGATGTGCTCCCTCTCCCCCCAGCCCTGAATATCTCACACAGGACATCCCCAACCCCCCCCCCCCCCCCTGCCCCAAACCACACCACAGTGAGACCAACACCAAGATCTGAGAAATCTGCCTTACCAATGCAAGCTGGTTTAAAAAACCAGTCCTATCATTCATCTCTGGTTCACGATTATTGGTGGGGAAAAAAAGAAACTGAAACCCAACATTGTATAGGGTGAGATGTTATGGAGAGTTTTTACACAGCCGGATGCCGTTAAGACAAAACTCTGCCAAGTTAATTCGTTGATTGCGAAGTGATCTTAATCTACTCTTTCTTCCACCTGCATGCTTGGTTTCCCCTTACTGTACAGACAGGGTGTCAATCACGGCAAAATTCGTTCTCCAGTGTAGTCAGCAGCTTACAGCTAGCAGCATAGCAAGGGTTCGGACAATGGAAATGCAACATACCTGAATCTTGGGCTGTAGGTCCTTAGTGTAGTGATTAAGGAAATCTGGCACGATATCCTGCATTTATTATCAGAAAGAGCAGAATGTTTGTGTCATTCCAAGCCTAGAATTTCCCTTTGACCCCCACAGACATTGAGCCCACTGTTCAGTTTTCTGTTTGGAATGGCTCCGGTATTGTTAGGTGTGTTTTTTTTCCCTGGTTTTGCTGTCCAGGCAATAACACCAGTGACTATTTGCAGCAGAGTACGGCATAACAATGGTCCCAAAATGGTCTGGAAAACAGTAGAAGGTATGTGCAGTATGTGCAACATGATTTTAAAATTACACGTACCGATGTATTTCGATATGGATTTATTGAAATTTTAAAATTTTACCCTGTATTAAATTTATCTTATCTATACACTGAAGTTACTGCATTTGAAGTTTGACGCATTCGAAGACTGGGGTCTATTCAGTTTAAAGGTAGGCTCAAAGCTGTTTAAGTAAACACAGAATATATATTCCAGTTTAGCTTTATTGATTTATTGAGGTTTTAAAAAAACGCTGTACTTCCATCAGTGTGGATGTTCAAAGTTTTGATGGAATTACACTAAAGACTATTAATTGAATTCCGTAGATGTAGATGAACTGTAGAAATCAACTGAATCCAAGTGATATTTTTAAATTTGGAAATCTTAAGTAAATTAGGCATTAGATACAAACAGGTTTGGTATTATTAAAATTCACATTTTGATTCCAGCTTATTTTGCATATAAAATTGGGTTAAGATGTATAACATGCAATTTAATTTTAAATTGGTTGATGACTGTTTCACAGTAATTCCTGCAGTATTCATTTATTTTCCTTCAAATTCTATTCCATTTCCATACTTATGCACTTGTCTTCTATTTTTGTTTGTCCATTTTAAAGTGAGTTACTTTTTTTCTTTGAAATATGTCCATTCCATGTGCTGTAAAACCATCGAAATTGCTTTGATATTGTAGTTCATTCTCAGTTACCAATATAAATTGATCAGGTCAGAGGTTGTGCTCATTGTTTTACAGAACTGTGGATATGTCTCCAAAATGATTTAATATAAAATAATGCCACACATTAGTGCTTGTCTGGGTTTTGGTTGCCTAGTTACCTACCAAGATAGACAGAATGTTCCAGGTTGTATGTTGGTCTCCTCCCACTCAAAAAAAAATAAATAAATATCCAAATTTATGGTTTTACTTTGCAGTCAGGGAAGTGAACTATGTCATGTTTAATTTGTACAATGTGAACTAAGCTCCACCCTTGTAGGTTTACAGTAACTCGATACAGAAAATAAAATGTAAATAATGTATCTTACATCCACCTTGATGTAAGATACCATGGATTCTGCATCATGCAATAAATGGCAAGCTACAATTTTGACAAATGATACATTTTTTTTCAATTAAATTAAACATTGAACAAACCCTTTTAAAAAGCAATGTTCTAGAATCATTATTAAAATACAGATGTTTGAGACTTAAATATTGGGCCTTTTATCATTGATGGCTGTCTGTGATTTTGAATTCGACCATTGAGGCTTTATTGCGTCACTTTCACAACTTTTTTTTATATTACATCCCATTGTTTTCTTCTCAAAGAATTATTTTTTTTTGTAGTTGAATATGTTGGATAGTTTGTCAACTGGCAAATCATTGTTTTTCATCCAGTGTGATTTGCATACTGTGCACAACTGAAGCATTTTGAAGGCTTGGTATTTCTTTTGTTCCTTGAGGAGCTCAGATTAAGTGCATAAAGCGTCACATTCAACCCTGGGGAACTTGATCTGACAGCATTTTCGCAATACCGCCAACTACCGGTGCACTGTGCTTCCTGTTCCATATTTAAATATTTCCCTTTTGGGTGTCAAACAGAATTTCAGTTGTCACTCTAACACTGCTGTGCAAGATATTGCTTAGCTAATGGTACAAATTCATGTTAAGTAGTTTTCTAATATTTTAAGATTTCCTGTAGATGCTGGCATCTGAAAATCAAGGGACATTAACTGTGAATCACCACAGGGCTGCACCGCATAAGTGCTTGGAAGCTTGGAGGGATTAACATAAAATTTTTCTTGGAGTGATTGCCATAAAAAGCTAAATAATACTGCTATCCAGTATATGTAAACCCTGAAGATTTCACAGAATTATACGCATGCTTCTTGTATTGTTCCCCCAAAAAATGCTCCTCAATTCTTGAACCCATCTCTCATTTTTTTTATTCAGTAAACTCGTTTGCTGAACAACGGATAAAATGACACCTTAAATTTTCTGACCTTTTTTTTCTCTTCTGTCAAAGATAAGTCAGTCACTAACATCACGAACCCGTAAAATAAATCATCCCTTTTCATACATAAGCCAAGAATTGTCCAGAACCTTGTCAGATCTTTAGTGCCTGTCTATTCTAACCCACATGTTTCCTGTAGTTACGTCATAAGAGATGTGAAAAATCTAACAGTCCCAGAATTCACATCCAAATCTACTCCGTCAGTATGTTTACAGGTAAAAACTTTGCATGTAGTGTTTTGTATTATGTCACCTTCCTGCTTATTTGAACTGAAAGAAGACAGATATATTGATTATGTAACAGATCTAAGTATATCGTGTCACTAGGTGGAAAGATTTACTATGTATTATATATTTTTTTTGCAGATTTAATGATAAATTTTAAAAGCACATTTGAGAATTTCTGCCAAAATTATCATCATATAATCAATTTGTAATTAATCAACATCTTAAAGAATTGACATGGTTATATAGTTTTACAGATTCTTCAGGAATACCTCTCATTTGCTCAGAAATGGCAGGCAGCTCAATGGGTTGACACGCAAAAATTGTAGCAGTTTGGCTTGGGTTGCATTCAAATTAAAGATACATATTATATTATGAACTACTGTATATTCAGTTCTTGCTGTGTAACAGTTACATGAGTCACATGACTTTTGGCAGCTGAGATGTCAGTTGAGATGTGAATATTTCAAAATAGCAGCTGAAGTTTCTTAGCGTATCCCCCAAATTGTTATATTGATGCCAGTAGTTTTGTAGTGTTTCCTAATTCAGTCCTTGGGGACCCACAGCAGTCCACGTTTTTGCTCCAGAAGCTGGGAGGGGCAAAAATGTGGACCAGATGTGGGTCGCTGAGGACTGGCTTGGGAGATACTTGTGTATCTCTGCTTCGGAGTATACTTCTGTTTACCTGTTTATTAAGAACAGCAGCCTTGTAGTTCTAAAATTAACAAATTGTCTTATTAGTAAAAAAAAATATCTTTATAGAAATATATATTACACTTAACCAATAAATCACGCCACTGCAAAAGAGACAACTTTAATCCACAGTCAGGGATATGATGGAAGTTCTGTTGAACAAACTGTTTTAATGTCCTTCGGCCGTAAATACATGTGGAATAACTACCTCTTCACAGTTTTCTCCGCTAGAGCTTATTGTGGGTATAAAATGGCATTACAAAGCTTTCTGATTCACATTCTCAATACCTGGAAAAGTAACAAGATGCGTTTGGCTATTCTGTAGTTGTAGTATAAAAAAAAAAATCAAAAATATGATCAGAAAGCTCTCTGAGTTTAGCCATTTACTGATGCCGGGTGCAAAGGCTGAGAAAACAAGAACAGGGTATTATTATAGAAGCTATTGTGACACAGTGGTCTGATACATGGTTATTTTTGCAACCATTGTATTTTTTTCCAATAATTGTCACTATTGCCTCAGTGGAGTATCATCCAGTATTAATTCATCATCATGCCCATTTGCAACAGTTCATTCTCATTTAAATACTTTGCTGTACTTGTAAATATTTCTATCTTTCTAGATCCCATTGCTGCCTGTAAACCTAGGGCTGAGGACAGGATTTGTTTGAGAGGCTAAATGGGTATAATTTTCACACACCAATAATGAACTGCATGCAGCATATAGAAACATGTTAACATTGTTGAAGACTCCGATTGGCATTCAGTCACTCGGCTGGCTTTTAAATAATTTAACTAACTTTCAGAAAGTAAGAAAATGCTTCTCCAGTCACTATATCACTGGACATGTCTTAATTTCTGAGAATTAGCAAAAATTCTCTGCCTCAGAAGCATAAAATTTGTATTTTTGTATTGAGTATTTGGAAGTGATATGCAGACCAGCTGGTATGATGTTTATAATAATTAGTAATTTCTTATAATCTGGGTTTTAATGCCTAGTCTTCAAAACTGTCCATATATATATATATATATATATAATATGGACAGTTTTGAAGCTCACTGAAATACATTTGTGGTGAATTACCAATGGGGGGAATTAGCTTTCAAAATATTTTTAAATTGATGATGTGTTCAACCAGCTTGGGAATTTTGTTGGTTAGTAAGTCTTTCATTCCTTGTATACCTGTAAGGTAAAGATAGAAACTAGCCAATGACCCACAGGACCACAAACTTATATCACTGTGTACAGTACAATCCTACATGTGTGGTGAAAAAACCTTCTAACTTTTTTTCTTGCTTCAATAAATTAATTGTAATCACGTTATGTCAATTGAAAGGAATGCCAGCGTATACAAAATGAATAAATTTCCATTACAACAATGACATCCCTTTGTTTTTTGTCCATTTGTATTTTTAATATAGGTATTTGTAACACTCCAAACCTTGTACTGTAACCAACCTCATCATTCAGCTTTACAATACATTTATACTCAGATTAAACTGGTGTCTATAATGGGCCTTTTATTAAGAAGAGAGTAGTCATAGTAATACATCATAAAGTGCTTATATTACAAAGTCAGTTATACTTTATTGTAAAAAATACCTTTAATTGCCATAATAGGTCTCATTGATGAAATTCTCTTAACATAATACAATAATTTATTCACATAAATAGCTTATTTTAAGTATTTACATAAAAATAGATTTGTACACTGTTAGTGTATAAGAGTAGAAGAGTGCTTGGTTCAATCAGTAATCCTCTTGATTTTGCTAATGTAAATGCCATTGACCAGTTTGATAGGTCAGATAATGCTTTATGTATTAAATGTTCATTGAATGCATCTTTGTAGCTTTAGGCGTTCCTTCTCTGAACGTTATACTAATATGTGTAGTACCATACACAAGTGTACTACAACACATAGTTCCACAGGGGACTCTGTCGTTCCTTGGAATGCACCATATAGAAGTCATTCTGCGTGGAATTCCACGGGGTACGCGGGTTCTATGTGGAGAACCCCACAGTCACTGGCAGCCACATTCATCTACAATCATGTCCTCGTGGTGTCGGAGGGTCACCTCGCCACCTTCGTAGTACAGCATGCTTAACGGGCTCATCTTGGTGGGGGCACAGCAGGCCGGTGGCACCTGATCAGGGTGGTAGTGCTTCAGGAGACTCTGTGACAAGAGAAGAAGAGAAATGTTTCAATTATAAGCTATACAGAAAGAAACTCCTTCACTAGCATTCGCATCAAAATCAACACCAGTGTCAGTGCCTCAGGTTTCAGCTGCATTTTGTATTGCTTATTTCTAACCCAAAAATAAATGTTTTGACATTGCTTATACAGCCGGGTCATCGATTATCAGGTGAAATACATTGTAGCAAGAAAAAAAAATTCTAAATATTTTTTAAGACTTATATTTACACATTCATAGGTAAACTATAATCCACAGATTTCACTCACCTGCATGTAAGCGTGATTCGTCGGGTGGGAGTCCTCCCCAACAGGGTTAGGACATGTTCCCTCACAGCGGTATGCATTGTACTTTTTGGGGAAGACTATCCAGGATCCCCAGCCAATTTGGTTGAAATCAATGTGCAAATTGACCTTCCGGCAGGAAGACTTAACACTGCCTTTCCTGGGCACTTCTAGGTCTTTCAAGGGCTGGTCCCTTCGCCTCCTGTTGCTCTTATGCCTCTTTGGTCGCCGAATCTTCTCATCCTCGGGGTTGAAGAGGAACTTGGATTGTTCGGCCGTGTGGAGCAGGCTGGCCTTGGCCTGGGAGCCCTCGTCTGGCCCCAGGTGAGAGAAAGTGACCAGCAGAGCTCTGTCATTGGCAATGCGGTCGCTCTTTAGACCAGCCAGTTGATTCCGCTCAGGCAAGGATGGGTCCTCCTTTTTCTTCTGCGATTTTCTGCCATTTGAACTGGCCCTTCCCTCAAGCCAGCCCAATAGCAAACTGGTAATATTGAACACTTTCCAGTGTTGGGATGAGTCAACCATGGAGGAGGAGGACAGTAGTCCCATCATTTGGCGGTTGTGGCAGGTTCCATTCATCCGACAAGGGAATTCATGATGGTGGTGGACTTCCACTGTCAGGTTTATAATGTCAGCGACCCAGGGCTGCCTGATTCTCAGCTCAGCCAGCTGAAGCTTCTCGTCGGCCAGCAGGGAGGTGAAGTCAAATGTCACAATCCAGTTCCAGTCTCTTCTATATAAACCTTCAAAAGAAACCGGTGTTTAGATTTCAACAATCAGAAAGTCTCATGTGATTTACCCATTATACATGCGTCTTGGAAATGCTCTCTATTTAGAGATGTGACAAAAACAGCTTTCTGGCAACAATAACTTTAGGTTTCTTAAACAATCTGGAATAGCAATAGCAATTTTACGCCAAAGTTTACAATGAAATTATACGCCTATGTTTATAATTATGGAAACTTAGGCTATATATATATATATACACACGAGTATACACCACACCCCAAACTATTATTTATAGGTCATGTGCCTCATTCTAATAAAACACTGACTTCACTTTTGAGTATACAACATTGCTGCACGATTTTACTTCGTAATTGCAAACGTTTTAATTAGCCGATTTTTATTCAAACAGAAGCGGAGCTCTGATGAAGACAGGAGTGGACCTGTGTTTTATCTCAAGCAATACACATCTGTCATCAACTTCAAGACTAACATTTCCAAATGCATTTCCATTCTTAAAATAGTGAATGGGTGAATAGAGTGAGTCGACTCTCCTTTCAAATCCAAAATATTTTTTGATCAAAAGCTCGACCTATCTGTCGTTTATTGATCTCGACACTGGGTGAACTGTAAATTAACCTTATGTAGCGATATTTTTTTAAATGACTCCGCCGGGCCTACTAAGTAAACTCTGATAAATGCAATGGGAAAGCGAGACGTAGCGTTATCAATTTAATTGTGGGGTCCTACTTCGAGAATCTGTTCCGATAGCTCTTACTAAAGGTGTAAAATATTTTTCGACAATATGAGCAGATCAAATTTCAAATCAGAGGTTTCTTCTAAATATTAATATAAGGTATTCGGGTCAATAAAAATGCATCTAAGAAATCCAGTTGAGCAGTGAGAAAATCTACATCGGCTGGAATTAAAATTTAACCTGTTACGAACACCTTATTACACTCACTATACCCACTTAGTACCAGTGCGGACAAATCAATCAGAAGCAAACACTGGACCGAAACCATGCATTTAACACGTCTCTTGAGCTGCTTCCGCACAGCCCCATCTAAATAAATACAGCTCTCCCCTTAGTCAGGATTGTTGAAATTAACTTGGGGCCAGGAGGACACAGAAAGGGTCCCTTAGTCGAAACATGTTAAAACGCGCCTTACAGAAATGGAGACAGATAATCTAATCAATGAACGTGTGAAAAGAACTGAGGGAAAATGTTGATTTGAGCTAACAACTGATTTGTATAGGGATGTCTGGCGGGACGCGTAATCAACATCACCGAGTGAAGTAAAAGGAGGCTGCTTCGAGCATTTGACTGTAAACTAAGCTTTCACACGCTGGTCCTCAGCCATGCTTATTCGCTCGGTCTAATGAATGTGGATTCTCTGTGTCTCCGAGATTGTCTAAAAATATAACTGGACATGCAAAACTCTAGCCCTGATGCTAATTTGCCAGTGCAAATTTTCTTATATACGGAATTAGAAATACAACAATACACATCAACATGTACTAATTGATAATAGGAATAAAGATCGTGATAAAGCTACTGATTATCCAAGAATTAAGAATTATTCTGCTATTTGTCTTAATAGGCCTATTGAATAAACAAGAAATAGCGAACGCAAGGTATACGTATATGAATTCACTTACTTTTAGCAATTACACTTCTGACTGTATCAGCCTTTTTCACCGCTCTTCTTTCCAAGAAATCATCTGGATGAGACCGATTTGACTTGAAGTTTCTGTAGAGATGCATCATATACGTCGGAAAGGCATGTCCAGGTGACCGTCCGGCAAAAGACCGATGCGACAACACATTGAAAGTCCCATCTCCACTTTTGTAAGCTCCTTCAGCGATAAGCATCGTTAGAGAGAAAGACGCCAGCAGTGCAGTTAAGGCTCGGAGGGACTGCATGCTGCAGCTTGGGATGACAGTTTAGCACTATGGGAGGTCAGGTGCCCTTTTATACCCGACCCTCCCAACGCTGCATACTTAACAAGTAGCAGAGAACATTAAAGGAAGCTGACAGCCCTTTCAAGAGTTCTAACAGGACATGTCAATGTCCCTTTTATAACTGTGTGAACCATTTCTTAGAAAAAATACGTTCTTTCATGGCGTCTCTAAATTTAAATTTTTGTAGCTGATCTATCATGTATTTCGATGCATTTGTTTATTCTAATTAAACGTTCAATTTTAACCTTAAGCACATCTAGCATGGGAACTCCCAATGTTCTATGTTCTTAATTTTTGAATATGCAGTGCAAAAAAATCATTGTGCTAGGCCTATATATAGCCATATATGACAGGACGACTGAAATACAACTGTACATATTTTAGTAATGAATTGGAGTTTCTTTTTAGAAAATCACCAAGCTTTATCTAAGTGACAGGAATGTGTTGCAAAAATGGAAGACGTATATATCTGTGTGTAATGTTTATTTCTACTAAACGTGTTATAGGCCTATATGCACATACAATTGTATTTATTTTGTTAATATTAAATTCTAAGGCTCTGTAGTATCCTACAAAACAGGCTCATTCTGAATAATAACTAATAACGAGTTCATTTGGCTAAAGTAAAACGAATAAGAGAAATGTGATGTCCTAAGTTTTTTTTTTTTTTTTACTGTGCGCATGCTCACATATCCTGCTTCTTTTTTTGCATGTAGTGGTAATTTTTCCTACAAAGCTGGTGGGGAGAATCTGACGCCTAAACGTAACCTGATGACTATAGCAAAAGATTTGATAACAGATCTACAGTAAATATTCAAGAAGTGGCCGGATTTTGCCTATGTATTGTACCAGGGAGGAGTAGTGTTGTGGTTTTCTCACTGTTTTGCTCTGCATAGCACTGAAATGGTGAGTGAAGTTTCCGTCTCTATCTTTGAAATGGGGATCGCTGGGTTGTTCGGTCTGATGTAAACTACCATGCTGCGTTTGATAAGTTTGGTGTGTTTTGCTCGGAGACTATCTCGATGGCGGTATATTTCATTGTGCCATATGTTTGAACGGTGCTTTAATGTCCTCCCCCATCCACATACACAATACTTTCTTGTACTCCCGACCACACGAGGTCTTTTTATTGCAGTAAGAGTAAAACAAACCGAATAACGTTGCGGAGCGTAGCGCAGCGCGAAATGACCGCATGCGACGTGAAATAAACTCAATGGCGTGAATGAGGTCACTCGTTTATAAATCAAAAGTAGGAATTTACTAGTGACACTAGTTAACCGGCGATGTAACACTTCTGTCTGTGTCGTTTTCCTGCCACATTTTCATTTCTAAAAAATCCATTGCATGTTGAATGGGGCAAATTTATTAGGATATATGGCCACGTTACTGTTCTGTCGGTATTTCAGTCTTTAACTACTGAAACTTTTGAATGAATAGTGCAGGCTCACTTCTGTAGCTTTAATGAGGGCTTGCGGGTGCTGTAACCATCACTGAGTTAGCCCTGTACTAGTGTGGTAAATTTATGCAAATGAAAAGCAATAGGACTTCCCTTTGATTAACAGGTGACAATGGCAACCGTTTGAGGTCAATGACTTATGGGAGGATTGGGAACCTCTTCAAACAGTAGACCATTTAAAGGATAATTAAAACAAATCTTTCTATACAACTGCAACACTTTTATTTATCTTAATGCAACAATGGGCACTAGCTATTAGGCAGTACAAATTAAGGGGGAATTAATTTGCATAAGGGCTACACTTGTTTGTGTAAGGGCACTTAACTTGCTTTCTTAATTTCTTGTTTCAAAATCTTATCAACTATGAATGAGAGTTGCTGTGAGTTATTAAAGACTCAATGCTAATTTTTGTATGACAACAAATGAGTATGAAGATTAATCATGGTAAAGACCAGAACATCGAAACCATTTAACAGGGTGTATTGTTAGCTTGTTAATTTCTGTTTACATGTAAAGGCTCCGAAAATATAATGATTATTATATAAAAAATCTAATCCACATTTACCTTTGAGTTGAACGAACATTTTCCTAGTCAGTTAATTTAATGATTGGCTTAATACACTGATGAGTTCACTTACAATGTACCGAAACCTACTTGGACAGTGCTGGTTTAAACCACAATTTAAGGTGCTTTGGTACTTTCTAGCACTTTCCTTATTAATCCCCACATTAGTGTGAAATCCAGAATTTATTTTAAATACTTTGTATTCCTTTTGTAGGCCTAATCAAAAATAAGAAATGAGGCAATTTAAGTGAGTTGTATTTAATACTCTTTTAGTAAAATGAATGATGATTCAGAATTAAGATCTACCCCATAATCTGCAACCGAATGGTGTGTGTCTTTGCTGCCAACTCCCCCCCCCCCCCTCCCCTGGGTGCTGTGATCCATCTTCCTCACACTCTGCTTGTGTTCATCTGACACTTTGAGCCTAGTAACTGGAGTGTTGTGTGGATGACGATAAGGCCGTCGTTGTTCCTCCGCACTACATAATTATTTGCTCTTGATCTGTTGTATTGTGACATCTAACAGCTGCCAAGGTCTCCTTCTTTGAGGGTGAAGAGTAAAGTCCAGCAACTGCTTCCTTTTTGCTGCTTTCCCCCCCAACCGGGGTCAGTTTCTCTGGGTGATGCTTAATTTTTAGCATTAAATTTTTGCTCCTATGTGATTAATATTTTTTCCACGGCTGTTGTCTGCTTGTGAAGTGGGTAGTGAAAGGTAAAGAACACTCTCGCCCAAAGGTTTATTTTTAACACGTTGCTTGCGTACCTACCTTTTTCACACCTCCGTATAGATTAATTGCTTTGGTGCTTTGCTCAACATGCCCTTATCAGGTACGACTGAATGACTCAAACCCCCCCCCCGAAACTGAGGGATGTAACAATGAAGCCTTGCAAAGGATCTGTTATGTTACATTAGATTGCATCTTTTTTTGGTAGGTTCCCCCTTTTAACAGTTTCAGGTATTTTTTTTCTTTGTGTATCCTGTTTTTATGTCTTCATCTAAATCCATGGCCTTTCAAACAAACTTAATATGGCATTCTATTATTGTACCACTAGAGGTCTCTTTTCTCTCTGGTGTGAAATATCCGTGGACGGCAGAAGGCATCATGTTTTCACTCTGATTTTTTTCCCCCTTGCATGTGAAGGCAGTGCTGCAAAGTTCTTAACAGCATGGTTTGAACTTCTTCACCCGGAAGCCGTCATGATTCGTAAAGAATTGTTTTCTAATTAGTTGATGATTCACTCACTGCCTGCTATTTGTTTTCAGGCAAATAGTAACTATGGTCTCTGTACATGCTCTGCTGATGGGAGCAGATGGGTTTCGGCACTACCCACTTCACAAGCTCCATCAGCTGCAGGTGCCACCCCTTGAAAGTTTGACCTGTGCACTTATTGCTTGGAACTGATCAAAGAATGGGATTTTTTCCTGTTATGTGTAATTGATTGACAGTGTGCTGTAACATGAATACACTTAACAAATTTATGCAAAGCGGCACCTTGCTGTTCTGTTATTGCAGAAGCTGACATTTTGGCAGATGTTATAATTCTGTGTATTCATTCACGCTGAATTGAAGCTCATGAAATCTAACGCGGAGCCTTTGTCAAGACGTATTCAGAGTCCCTTTGATAAGAACGTGCCCTAGTTTTGCAGTGCGGCGTCTGTCTTTTTCGAGTGTATATCCTGCACTTCAATGTGCAACTCGTTCAGTTAATGCTGGCATTTCCCCCAATGAATAAACGTGCGAGAAAGCATGTACTTTTACTGGAACATAGCCTCTAATATGTTTTGAGCACTTGTTTGTTTACCCAGATGTATTTCTTAGTTAATGTTTTTTGTTAATCAGGTATGTGCTTCAGCTTCTGATGTGGTTTAAAGGGGACATAATAGACAATGAACACTCTTACCATTAAGCTATTAAGTTATTGGGTGTAATAACTGTGATAAGATTTAGATGCTTTTATGTATACTTTATATTATTCGTAGACAAAGTGTTGTAGTAGTTCAGTGGGTAGCACTGTCTTTGTACCTCCACTTTTGAGGATATACCTCAGGTTAGCATGTCTGGATGTTTTCTTTGTATTTTTGCAAGTTTTCTTCAGGTACCCTCTTTTCCTCCTGCAGTCCAAAGATATGCAGTTAGGCTAATTGATGTGTGATTGTGTGTGCATGTATGTGCCCTCCAATGGATTGGCATCCCATCTAGAGTATACCCCAGTCGTGTGCCCTACGTTGCCTGGAAATTTGCCTGGGCTCACTATGACCCTAATCGGGATATATGGTTGGAAATTTGATGGGTGCCATATGATGGCACTCTTTTTAGTTGGTAGCACTGCATCCTCACACCTCCAAGATCTTTGGGAGGATTCTTGCCCTGACTCCCAGCATTCACTGTGGGTTTCCTTTTGGTGGTATGGATTCTTCCAACAGTCAAAAGAAATATGGATTAGGTGAATTGATGTCTTTAAACTGGCCTGAGTGAGCATGGATCCTATGATGGACTGGCATTCTGTACAGGGATAGGCTCCAGGCTCACACTGATCCTACACTGGATAAAAAGGTACAGAAAATAGATGCATCACTGATTTTTTTTTTCATGCCAGCGAGAATTCACTGGAACCCCTACCTACAAAGTAGCTTCTAGCTGAAAACATGCCATTCATAGATCTCTCCTGGGCTGCATTCCAGCATGGCCTTTTGAGATATTGTTCTGTTACAAGGCTTGAGGGAAAGACATTGTAGAATAAACACTGGTACCAATCTGCAGTGATAGAGGACAGACATGAATGGTTGGCTCAGGAGGGCAATAACCTGGCAATTTCTCCTCAGCCTAAAAGGACAGTTGAAACTTTCCTGTACTGCAACAAAATTGATTTGAGGCTAGAGTTTTGTACTGGTCCCTAGGAAGACATCGATCATGTTTGGTATTCAGTGGTTTCTATTACAATTAATGTAGGTTCTTGAATGTACAGATGAGGCAAGAGTCAGCTGGGCTTATAAGCTTGGCTGGATAATCCTCCCTCCTGTTAAATTGTGGTTCTTTTGTGTTCGAACCCTTGTTGAAATGCTAGTGACTCGTCCCCTCTGAAAGTGAGAGGCATATCCACGAAGCCTTGATGAAAAGCTTAATAAAGGGAGACAGACTGAGTCCTTGTATTTTTGTGTCATTTGTATATCAGGGTTGAGCATGGACACTTGCTACATAAGGCAGGCATTAGATAGTCTACCAGACCCTTTAATTGAAATCCCAAGATTCCTGAACAGGCCATTGGGAAATTCACTGCTTTGCTTCAAGAGACTGGTGGCATGGTTTGCAGAAGGTGCAAATGCAGCTGACAAGAAAGGTTTCAGATTTATGGAGCAAGAAGATTAAGACACTTTCCTTCTTGAAGCAAGGAAGGAACAGGTGTGGTAGTGGTGAATGTCACGTGAAGAACACTGTTGAGATGCCAGAGCCACAAATGATAAAGCTCAATGAAGTCATGCTCCTTGAACAGGCATCTAGACAGAGTTTCAGTTCACGAATGACCAATGACTTTTCCTGGAAGACATTAACTTGAAATCAAATTAACTCCGAGGGAATGTTTCGGAAGCTGGTACTCCTTTACACTTACTGACTGGCTGTAAATCCTTCCAGGTGCCTAGTGATGCAGGAATGGATCTTCTTGGTACAGCAAGGTAGAGAGCTGTGATTAGGAACTATTCAAAATGAGGTTGACTGTGAAATGTGTATAGGCCTCATCCCCTTTTATAGGAGTGGCTATGGTCAGACCCCTTGACACCATGCTTCTCAAACCACCCTGGATGGTTAGCTCTCTACCCAAGTGTTCCTGTTGGTCTGAGCTCCATGGGACATGCTGGTGTAGATCTGTCCTCAGTTTCACATTACGGTGACTTATTATGCGTCCAGTGTTCGCACTCACATTTGGGACTATGAAGTCTGACCAGTATGTAAAGATGTCCCTGATTAGCTGACCTTGTGGGTCCTATTTTGTATTGACAAATATTGTATCCTATCAAAAATGCAATAGACATGCCTTTTTGCACAATTAAAACCTTTTTTTTTTGCTTTAGAAATGGAAAAAAAATAATTAAAAAAATGCAATTGCATGGGTAAGGATTACTTAAGTAGTTGGATAATTATATGCAATTAACATTAGATTTAGCCAGTCAGAAGCCCTTGGGGGAGTTGTCTAATGATCTCCTTTGGGTACTGTACTTATTTTTACAAGGTCACGGATTGTAACTCTCACTGCACACGTCTGTCACAGGTTCTTGTCTGAGACTTGCACAGGTTCTCTGTGTACCTTCCTGTGCATGAGGCCAGCCGTTGTGGGAAGGGGGGGGGTGCTGTTGATTGGGTGGCTGCCTGGCAGTGAGTGCGGCTCCCTGAGCCCGCCCCCACATCCTCTCTCGCACGCGCGCGCACACACACACACACACACACACACACACACACACACACGCTGGTCCGCGGTGGCTTTGTGGAGGTCTAGTCTGGTTCTCGCTGTATCAGTGTGAGCCCCGGGAGTGTCGCGAGCCTTCACCGCTGCTCCAGAACCGCCTAGGAGAGAGCAGGGGAGCTTCTCAAGGGGGAACGGGAGGATGTCGAATTGAGAACCGCTTCTCCTCCGCTGGCTCTTTTCTTGAATGGTTCGCAGACCGCTGGAGGGTGTTCGGGGAACTAGAGATCCAGGTATTCCATATTTTCTTCCATGTTCCTGGTGCTCTGAGAGCAGAACATTTGAAGGCATCCCACTGATTTGTCTGTGGGGTATTTAATATGGGGCTTGGGAATGTATCTGTGTCACGTTTGCTTGATGAACCTCTCCTGAGCTGATGTGCTGTTTTTGACGCATGGGCGTGCTGGGCAGCGCATGTAAAATTGCTGCCGGCTTGCTTGTTATTGTTTTGGGTGCCTGCTGCTGAAACTGAAAGGTGTCTTATTTTGAAGTTACTGTTTTCATTAGACATATTATTTGGCATGGCTGAAATGGAAAAAGTACTACAGTTTGTGGATGGGATGATTTTGGCCCATCTGGGGAAAATACTGTCCGTCAGCTCCATAAAAGATGGTTGGGCTCATCGAGTATGCCGGTGCTGAAAGTATGTCATGCTCTTTAGATGCATAATTGGATGAGTTTGACGTTTTCGTCCCATTGAATGTGAATAGCTATTAAGTAGCTATTTCACCATTGGGGGCAATAGATGAAACCACTTAGCTGGGATTTACTGGGCTTGCCACCCCCTAAAGAACTTTTTGTGTAATTTTTCCATTTGTTTTAATATCCATCACCTGTAATCTATCAGATCTCTTTTTTTGTGGAGACATATGCAGATTGCCAGTTTTGATACGTGTAAATGCTGGGTGGAAGCTATATTCTGGTTTGGGTCTATAAAAGCCATTCCCATCAGTGACAGAGGTCCATTGCACTCTGCACCTTCCATGTAATGACAGAATTGTCAGCGGACAGTCACCAGCCTCTAGCCTCTATCTCTGCCATCATGTTTATTTTTTTGATCCAATAATGCCATCTTGGCATCTAAAGCTATGTCATTAAAAGATGAATTATCATTTAGCCGGCACTAGCCTTGTATTGTTTGGCTTGGATTACATGCTTTCTTTGTAGCAGAAAATATGGGATTGATGTGTCATATTCGACATCCCCTTCCAGCAGTCCCAACATGCCTCTCTGTATGACTTGTGGGTTTCCCCCCAGATATAAAATTCCACTGTAAAATATCGTTAGTTAGGCTCCTGGTGCTCACCACGGCAGTTTGCATGGGTGCTGTTGCCAGACGCTACACTGTTAAAAATGAAAACCACATCATACAAGCCTGAAAATCATAGGGGCTAAAATCACTGCCTTAAATATAAAAAAAAAAAACAAGAAATTATAGGCACAGTTTTAAAAATAGTCTTTGAGTCTAGATTTAACGGTGCTTGGAATAAGACGCGAGGAAAGGAGTGTTTCAAGAATAAGGGCGGGTTTTTATGTTTCCTTTCTCCATGTTCTCTGTCACTATTTGATAGGTGGGTAGACAAAATATGATTTACACGTATTAGTTTCTTTGCTCCTAAATAAATCGAGGTAAAGTTGGCTGATTGATTATTTTTTTATTAGATAAGCACTATTAGTATTTTCATTTTTAAAATAAGTGAACTCCTGGGAAATATTATGGGGGAACAAATAAGAGAAACAGCCATGGTCTTGTGCAGTCAGTCAGAGGAAATGAATTTAGTAACATTTCCTGTGTCGAGTATTTAAACATGTAGACATACCTGTGTTTCATGGGAAGGTCTGTCACCTCTTGTAGCATTGTAACTGTAAAATATGAGCTCAACCATATTGTACGGAAGGTTCTTGTAAGACAGGTTAAAGTGATTATAATAGAAAGCAATACCTTAAACTGTGAGTTAACTTGTATTTGGTGCTATTTCTGAATTGGTGCAGTGTTTTCATTTGCTGCGTTTAACAGAGGAAACAGTTTGTAAAATCTGAAGTAGAATCTTTGCGGGGAGATCCACCCATTTCGTTCGACCTGAGCTAGATTTAACAAGTATACCTCAGCGTAGATAAATGTTTCTCCTGCAGCTTAAATATACCCCTGTCTACAGTTACATAGGCATCTGCTTTCATTTGATTACATATTAGAAAAAGACAAGCATGCATGCACATTTGCAACTTAAATTTGTCTCAACAATGGCACACTTAAAAATCGTTTGACCACAGCGGTTGAGGAAGAATCAGGGCATGTGTGCGGCTGCTGCAGGATGGGAGCTGCATGCATGCATGCATGCCCCTTTGTTTCTTTTGTGCCTTTTTGTTGGTGTTGATAATGTCTATTAATGACCAACATGCCGGTGTGCCATTACTTCTTTCATAGTGGTCAGTGGAGCAGAAGATTCAAGCGCTGAATTGATGTCTAGTTTCTGTTTATTTAGAAAGTTGAAGAGAGGGGTTGATTTGTGCAATAGACAGATACCTTTTGTAGCCTGAAGCTGACTAGCACTGAACGCATAAGGGCCTTCAGTGAGTTGTCTTTACATAAAATGATGCATTTGTCCTCAAAAGGTGTTATTCAACAAGAAGCAAGCCGTTTGGCCTCCCTCCCTCTGGGGCAGGAATGGGGACAAGGAAGCAGGGACTTCCTGTGGTACTGCCTGACAAAGCCAGCTGGTAGTATCAGCCCAATTGCATGCGACTAGGAAGTGGGTCAGCTGCCCTTATTCCCGCTGCGCTCCTCAGCAAGTCTGGGGACCGGCTCAGTTTCTACCAGATGCCACTGTGTAACCTCACTTTCTCATTGGTTTACCTTCAACTGTCGAAAACCCCAATAAGTTATTTGATACAAAATGGTGTGAAAATAAATATGTAATCTACAGATGTGTGTGTCATATAGTGCAGAGTTTAGTAGTCTTGCATACACTTCACACCTTGCCTGGAAGATATTTTGTTGAAATCTCTGTACACATTGAGGATTGTGGGTCCTTGTTACTTGATTAAGAACCAGTATTTAGTAATGCTTGATGACAAGGAAGTACCATGCAGTCCTCAGGGTGGTGACATCACTTCCTGCAAGGCTCCCCCTAATTTGGGCTCAAACCCTGCAATGTCTCTTCCTTCTGGTCTTGCTGGTATTGCAGGGCTGTACTTGGGGCCGAATGTCCACATCCTGCAAGGTGTTCGCGCTCTTCCTGAGCTGATGAGGCACGACCAGTTGCTTTATGGCCTATAGAGATTATATCCTCCGATAAGAGGGTGTTCCTTTCAGAATGGCTTTGAACTTTAGAGGGTAACCACGAGCTGGAGGATCAACATTGCCCTTTAAGCTGGAACTGCGCTCTTAATTCTGCCTGGATGTTAACCCGATGTGTGTTTGTTATGACACAATGAAAGGATAAAACTAATAGATTTTCCTGAGGTTTGGGCTTTTCATGGATCAGGATCAAGTGAACTATTATGGCAAAGGTTACTTCTGTTGGAAGAGTGCTTGTAGTAATATATTAAATTTTATGTGTCATTATCTTGAAAGGTGCTTCAGGACAGCTTTTCAGACCCCATCCTGTTGTGTCCTCTTAGGAGCTTATTTTTCAATAGTCTGGGAGGTATGGCTGCAGTCCGAAGTGAACTTTGGTACCACCTTCAGAAGCGTATATAGAAAGCCGTGCTGTAACCGCTGAAGAAACCTCCAAGACATCCGGAGCTGCAGCAGGAAGTTCGGTTAAAATCTCAAAGTATGTGATACTTGCTCTGCTAGTGGCAGCTAGGTTTATTAGACTGAAGGGGAGATGCCCATTGTAACTGGTGATCATGTTGCTTTGATGGACGGGTTCTCAAACGCAGTGCTTTTCCGAACAGACCACTTCATTCAGTTAAATTGAGCTGTTCTATAACTGCTTAATAAAAACCGGTCATTTTGGCGATTTTTATTTTTGTATATTCCCATGTTACTGTAGAGACCATGGTTAGCTCCAACTGCCTGAAATCCATTTGTTGGCTTGCACATGGTGGTGGGCCCCATGCAGAGAACTTGTGGTTCCAAAGGGTTTATGAAACCATCAAACCCAGCATCTCCTAAGAATGAGGAGCGGTTCCATCCTTCCTCTTATTAGTCTGTCCACGGACAGACGCTTCCTGCAGCTGCACAGTTCTTCCTGTCTGCGTTTAGATCCTTTTGTTTGAAGGCTTTCCACAGCCGAGCTGGGACACTGTTGGAATTTCAATAGGCCTGCCTGAAAGAGCTAAGGCTGGCTGCCATGCCGTCCTCCGTGGGCCTTTTTCACCATGTCACAGGAGAGCTGTCAGGACAGAAGGCAAATAAAAAATAATCTACCAAGCTATGGAAGGTATGTTAGAGGCCAAAATAGACCTGAAAAGCAAACAGTAGATATTTAAATTTTTTATTCGTTCTTTTTATTATTCAGCCAACTGAATTGTATGCTTACGGTTGTTTATGTCACCCATGCAAAATTTTTTTTCCTTTTTCTTCTGGCATGGAAAGCGGAATAAACAGCCCTCTGATGGTCCCGCTTGATTGAGGATGTTTATGAGAGTGGGCAATTTTTACAGAGGCGGACGTCCAGACCCTGCTGCTGGAATGAGGGTGGGCGTATGTCTGATTTTGAGCCGTTTCATGTGAATCCATCAGATGTCTCCTTCCGTGTGTTGTATGCTGTACAGTAAAATCAGCACTTCCCTTTGGCAACCTGGACATTCTGTATATACTGTGGCAAAATGTACCAAGCTTTTCTGCCAGATTATTTGTGGAAGTATCCTGCAGTTAAGAGTGTTGAGCTTTTTAAAAAAAACAAAACCTAAATAAAACAGGCCGTTCTCATAACGCCCCATCTCTCAGGCAGAAATATCAACTCCTCCATACTTTTTCCCCATCTCTGAAATGTCCTGCTGTATGAGTAATTCTGGGAATGCCTGCCCGATGACTCCAGATGTTATTCTGTCTTTCTAAACTAGCCAGGAGGATTAACGAAGAGGCACTATTTTGGATGATGGCATGCCCACTTTTGACACAGGAAACCCCACATTCACATTCCCCATGCCATGTTCGTCTTGCTGTTGCCATGGGTTCCAATGTCTTTGTTGGTTTTCTTATACGCTCTTATAGAGATACTGACCTATCCATCTTTCGGAAAAGCAGCTGCATGGATTAGCTTTGCAAGGCGGTGTCTTGGTTTAGGGAGCTTTTGGGTGTGGGTGTCATGATGACACGAAAAAGGTGAATGGAAAACCAACATTGTTTTAGGATGGATAACACTAGTGTTTTCCGTGTCCATGTTTGTGTTGGGAACTTAATTGCAAAATGTTCTTGGTTATATTTCCCAGTGGATGTCCTGATCCATTCAAGTGAATTGTTTATTCAGTTATCTTCATTGTTTACATGCAGTGTAACCAGTGCTTCAAGAGGGGAGAAACAGGTTCTGGTACTCGCTTTGGTCCAAAATGTCAGTCTTTACATGTACTGCTGCCCGCCATATAAAACTTATCAATATTCAAAATTAGCAGCAAGTGTCAGCACTGGCTAACCCCCCCCCCCAGTCAGGTAGCGCTTCTTTAATTGTTTCTCTTCAGTTATTCAGGAGTTGGCCTTTTGACAATTTTAATCATATTCAAATCGTCTTGGGACCAAGTTTACATCCTTCATACATGTGTATACATAGAATATGTAAAAATGTAATTTGCTTTGTAGTACTTGTAAGATTGTGACTGTAATCATATAAATGGCAATATAATACATGAGAATGAAATATAAGGACAACAGTGAAATCCGTTTGTCAATGAACTGACTGCAAGACGTGAACCATAAAGGAGAACTGCCTTGCTTCTCTCCCACGCTGAGCTAACCGTAAGAGCTGAAATGTTACCTCAGACAGCTGTGTCCACAGCCCGCTGAATTGAAGCAGAAGAAATCCTTTGTTCCTTCCTAACGAAGCACAATCTGTGGCTGACCGAGTTGAGACTATTCTGGCCGATGGTCGAATTGCAAGGGGAGAAACCTGAGATCTCAGCTGGGGTGAGAGAGCTGTTTCTGAGGCAAGGCGCGGGATTCTATACAAGAGCCACAGACGCATCCCGCCTGATCTGCTTCCTGACTGTGAAGCCTCTTCGCCTGCAAAATGCCCCTTGCTGACGAGACCGTGGCAATTTGTGACAGACTCAAAACAAATCACACAAATATGGTTTGCTTAAGTTTCATAACAGAAAATAAAGGTGAAAAGTCATTCTGCTTTCTTTATATTTCTCTTATTGGTAATGTTCAAATTGAAGGGCACATCCATCACAGCTTTCTGGTCACTTCATATGCATCATATCTTTTTCAGGTTTAATTCTATACACCCACATGAGTACTAAAGACACACAAACCATCAGAGTCAAAAGCTGGCATTTGGTCTTCGCCGACAATGGACCCACCACCTCGCCTACATACCACTTATCCCAGTCACACTACATCACCTGACCTTAAATGCATCATGGTATTCGAACGGAGGAATAAACCTGGTATCAGTAAGCAGCAGTTAGTTCAAAATCTTATTACTCATGAGAATTACCTGTATAATTTTTGGAACAACCAAAAATATTTGTAAATATGACAGTAATGTGTGACCTCATCGTAGGGCTGGTAGGAGCTTTTTCTCATGTCTGTTGACGGCGGGAGGTTTATTCTGAGAAATGTATCTTCGCAAAGCCCTGAAAACTGTGTTTGCACTGGGCCATCTGCCCTTCAGATGCACTTGTGTTTCTTCTGGAGTGACTCATAGAGGTACGATTTGAGCACATGCCATAAGAGGAGATTGTGCTGGGGTGGGGAGGAGGTGGCATGGGGAGGGGGATCTTATTGCTTTCTGGTCTAAGCGTGAGACCTGCACAATGTTGCACTGAATGGCCGCTGGACACGGTGAGGTGGAATAGCCTCTTTTTTTTCTTGGGGGGGGCAGGAAGTGATGCCCAGTTCACTTGAAGTTGGAACATGCCGGAAAACAAGCACCACAGAGGAAGGGAGGGGGAAGCAGAGCCATAAGAATCCTCAGTCTGCGCCTTCTGGTGTCCCTGTGCAGCTCAAAGGAGGCAGACGGTAACGAGTTTGGCATTTTGGATGTTGGCCCGATGAGTCCCTGAAGGATCCTGACACAGGTCCTACTCACTAGCTCATCCTTGTCCTAAGAATGTGTGCATATAAACAAAAATCTATCAGAAAAGGGCTGCGGTGGCGAAAGCTGTGCATTTCCTTGAAAATGTTTTTGCCGGAATCCTCATCAGCGCCAGCCAAAGATCGGTTCTGCGATGGCTTGCCCCGGGACTGATGGCAGCTGGGCTGACTCTCGTGTTAGAGCAGGAAGTGGGGCTGTGGGTCACAAAATGGCCATGAGCATTTCCTTTAGCCTTAGCCAGCCCATCATCACAGGGTGCCGTATAACAGTGTGTCCTCCACCCCCTGTGAACGGACCTCTTCCTCTGACCAGACCTAGTCACAGTATCCTCCCTGACAAACTGGTTCACCAAGGCCTGCACTGCCTTTGAAAAATGTTTCATGGTGAGGTGCTCTGAGTTGCGATTGTGCAAAGCGTTCCATATTCTCCTATGCTGGGGCAACATCCGATGCAAATCCAAAGAACATTTTTATCCATTTATTTGAATTTTTTTCTCAGAGAAATCTCCGTAAGATTTTCCGTAGGAGAGGGGTAAGGCATTGTTATGTTAATTAAGGGCTGAACATTCATTGTATTTGTCTTACAACGATATTGGCCATTGTGTCATTTTAACATTTAGTTGACGGTTTTTAGTGTTTTGGTGACGGTTATTTTCATGTGAGTTTTCCCTCCTTCGAAACTACGTGGGCGAGTGGTAAATGTCGACGGGTTCTCCCAACGCCTGATTCTCCATCGCTGTTTAAGATAGTTTCAACAATATAGATTTAAATAATACAGATTAACAGTATAGATGGTTTTATAATAAGCTAAAATACACAGCTCAAAACGGCATGGAGTGCATGTAAAAATACACTGCTTGTAATTGAAACAGTTGATTCAAAATGCGTATCCTTAAATGGTTAATGATGCTTGTTCACTTGCTTTTGTTGAGATCAGCCCTTTCCTTCGCATGAAGTGGACGTGTGAAAGCGAGAATTATTTAGCCGAACGAGGAATTCGCTGCAGCACTCAATAAAATACACTACGGTAAAGCATCAGTGTCAGTGGAAGGGCTAAGATAAGATAATTAGAGAAGCTTAACCGGTTTAATTTTCACGTTTCCATTTCGTATTTGGTATATTGATGTTCTAGCCATGCCTCCTCAAAACTGACCTCTCTTTTTTCTGGCCATACCCTGTTTCCTGCCTTCGTTTACGTGTCTTGCTTCCCACATCCCTGACAGTGTCGCCCGGCGTCTCCGATGTGTCGAACGCGCCTTTAGAGCAGGGTAGCGGACGCGCGAGGCGGCTCGCGCATGTTGTGTGGGGACGGGTTTGTTTGCGCGCGCCGGCTTTGTGGGCAACCCTTGTTTACCGTGGACGCCCGAGCGCCCCGCTGAAATGCTCCAGAATCAAGTACCCTACATCTTGAAACGGTGTAATTAACATGTAAACACGTAAGGCTGGTAATCTGATGGTCACTTTTTTATTTTGCTACTGCAGTAGTAGTAAAAAGGGTGTTTCACAGTAGATAGCGTTTTCTTTTCGGTTCAAAGTCAAAGTGAACTTTATTGCCATCTTTCCATATACAGAAAAACGAGATGGCGAAGCTCAGAATCCACAGAATATACATATAATTGAATTTTTACACAGAGTGTAAGTAGACACAGTAGTCAAGCGATACTGAGGGAAAAAAAGACAATTCCAATTAAGTGGACAGAGAACAGTGCAAAATGACGAGTGCAAATGAGCGGAAGTATTTTAAGTACAGTGGCAGTAAGCGCTAACAACTTTCTGGTGTGGAAGCAGAGTGCAAAATAAGATTCCATAAGATGCAATATGATTTTTGTGCAAATACAGTATAAATACAGTATGATGTTTGTGTGAAAATACACTATGGATACATTTTGATATCAGTATAATATCAGAGCATGTAGCAGCAGAGTCAGTTTAAAATGTAAAAAAATAGGAAAACAGTGTAGGTCAGGTTGGTTTACTGTCATTTGAGAGAAACTATTTTTAAATAACAGCCTACAGGGTGTCTATCGAATTTGGTGTCCATGGTTTGCGAATGAGATGGGTTTTGAATCTAAAAAGTGAATTCTATACATGCAATGTGTGATTTTCTTATAAATGCATGGGACATGTTTAGAAAAATATTTTAATAACTGACTTATCTTCACTTATTTATGTTTTTTTTTTCTGAATTCAGTATTCGAATTGCTATGGCTTGAACTCAGCTTGGAGTGTGCAATAAATGCAAACAAATGTATCAGCCTGAAATTTATTATCTCTGGGTTTGCCACTTGACAGAAAATGTTTTGTCTGCATGAGTGAAATAAGAAACAAGACAAGCTTGTCATAAAAATGTGTCTTTCCCGTTCCCTTCCCTCCCGTCTCCCCTGTTCCTCCGCGGGTGTTGTGACACCCACAGCTGCTCGTGGATTATGGGTACAACTGCCAGCGCAGCTCCACAGCCAGCAGCACCTCCGCTTGAAAGTATCCATGGCGACGAGATGGCAGACAGCAGGCGGTCACTGAGCATCAACTCCTTTCAGACAGTCAACATTCACAGCAGCAAGGCCAAGTCCATCATCACCAACAAGGTGGCACCCGTTGTCATAACGTAAGTGATGGCGTGGCCACACAGCGGGTGACTGGTTTGAATCCTCTTTGGGTTTTGAATGCGCAGTACCTTTCATATTATAGAGCTTCAGAGACTTAAAAATAGTGTAATCTCATAACAACCACACGTCATGCTTATATAACGTTTCATTGATGTGACTTGAATTTAGAGGTATTGGCAGTATTCAAGCTGGAATCTCTGTATTTTTAGTAAATGGTAGTGAAGTTGAAGAAAATACTCCTCACTTTTATAGAAAATAGTGCTTTCTTATGAAACATAATGGGTTTTCCCAGGATCTGTCTTTCTGACTCACTCTCTCTGTCTAAAAAAAATATTGGTATATTTCTGCTGTTTTATGAGACCTTTCATTTGACTCGAGAGCAACCATCAGGTATGTTTCTTTTGCAGGTACAACTGCAGACAGGAATTTCAGATCCATGATGACTTGCTCAAAACAAATTACAAAGTTGGCAGGATTTCCGACACGATGCCTGAACATTACCTCGTTCAGGTAAGGAGCGAACCAGTAAGACTGGCTGTCCTCAGGGGCATTAAGGTAGCCATTGTTATGTGCAAGATCTGTCCTCAATACAGAACATTTGACAGTTGATATTCTTACTAGGTCAAGGCACCAACTGAAATGCATCTTTTTTTTCAGGGTACATATTTCATGGTGCAGGATGTGTACAGTAAAGCAGATGTCCTAAATACTATGGGTACACATGGAGCCCCTAACTTCCGTCAGGCCAAGGGTCAGTATCCCCTCTTTGGGATGGGACAGCCCAGCCTCAACGGCTTCAAGCAGGTTCTCCAGAGACTGCAGAGCCAAGGCCATGAGGTGAGTGACCTTGCAATGAGATCTTAATACATGTGTTAGCTTTCCGGTACCAATAAAGCAGTCACTCCATGGTATGTTTCCATCTGCTGTTTAAATTTAGACATTTCTGATATTATGATGAAAATTGGAGCCATTTATACACATCTGGTGACTGGGTATGTGAAGGTCTGGTGAATTAAATAATAATAATATGGTAGGAAGTAGTTCCTGAGCTGTGCTCTGCACACTTTAAAATGGTCACAGATCTGATCCTAGTGGCTTTCTTCACTGTACAGATATTTCCAGACTTGTGGCTATAAAAGATGTGAATTAAGAGAAGGTCGTAATCTTCTGTTTTACTCTCAACTCGCATACAGGAGGTTCTGTTTTTCTGTGTGAGAGAAGAACCAGTTGTCTTCCTGCGTTGCGAGAACGACTTTTTGCCTTACACTCCCCGGAGGAAGGAGAACCTGCATGAGAACTTGCATGGACTGAAGAAGGATGTCAGAGTAGAAAGCCTGGAGCTGACCATCAGAAAGGAGGTACGGCGCCTTGTATCCTTAAACCTGTATGGAACACCTGTCTGATATTTTCTCAACACTGTTGTTGCCATTAAGTAAGTAAATGTTGCCATTCATTAAAAATGGTACCACCTGTACCCTGAGGTGGAGATTTCAGGTCCAGAGAGTATAAATCCAGACCAAGATTTTGTTTCAACCAACCAGTTGAGTCCTCTGTGACTGTGACTCTTTATACTCAACTGGTTGGTTGAAAGAAAATCTTGGTCTGGATTTGTACTCTCTGGATCTGAAATCTCCACCTCTGCATGTACCACAATGTTCCTCACTGAGACCAGTAGGCTGCGACTTGCTGCCTTCCAGGGGCCCTAAGGATCTGCCTGATGACTTCACTGACATACTTCTATCAGATGCTTCTGAGTGATTTCTCCTTCCTCCTTTCAGCTCCATGACTTCGCTAAGCTCAATGAGAATGTGTACTACGTCTACAGTGACATTGAACACTTTAAGGATGAGCCACAGCACATCACCATCACCTGCGAGGAGGACATTCATGTCACTGAAGAGGTCTACAAGAGGCCCATTTTCACATTGCCTTCCAACAGGTTCCTCATTCCCATTCATCATAGTGCCATATCTAAATTGATGTTGTTCTGAGCCTCTTGAAAATGGGGTCTGGCAATTTGTGTGAACGGCTGTCCTAATTTCTCAGTGCATAGTTATATCCAGGCGAGAGTCTTTCTCATGATTCTCTGTGTAATCATCTGGAGAACTTCAGTCGGTTTGTGATTCAGTGGATGCTACTGAGTACAACCACATCTTAGATGTTGGTGTAGTCCACCATGCATCCATGGAAACACAAAACCAGCTGCTGCAAGCCAGTTTACCTGAGATACATAGTTCAGTGTCGCATTGACCTTGAATTCATTCAGAGTTTACATGCAACATGGTAGCTGGGAGGTAAAATGCGACGCGCTCATTTTTGAGAGAAGCTCAGTTATTTTTTTCACTTCTATGTGTCATTGTGCATGTGCTGCTCTGTCTTGTCCAGGTATCACTGCTTTGCTTTCTCTTGCCCAGGTATTACCGCCTCCCCTTGCCAGTCGAAGGAGCCCCACTTGAGGAGGACTTTGATGCCTTTGTCACCGTACTCAGGGTAACACTCCAAGTGGCCCGACGACGCGTTCTTATGCAAGACGGTGGACATGTTATAGACCAGGGTTATTCAAATCACGGTCCTCGAGGTCCGAGCGCTGCTGGTTTTCCAGCTTTCCTTTACCTGTCAGTCAGGTGTGAAGCCTCTGACCAATCAGAATCAGTAATTATTAAACTAGCTACCTGGGAGAACTGAAAACAAGGCCTGGATTTGGAATCGAGGTCCAGATTTGAAGAACCCTGTTATAGACAAACACAGACTATCGCTCATGTCCACGTTAGGTAGTGGTCCACGCAGTGTGTCCCGACACAGTGTCCAGTGGGTCTTCACCCCCAGATCCCTCTCTTTTATTCATGGGTGGTTCTGTGTGGCTCAGCAGGTTAGGACCCTGTGCCCATGATCGGAAAGGTCTCCATTTCTGGAGACTGTTTCTGCCGTTGGGCTCCTGTGAAAGGTCCTTAACCACCAAATGCTGCAGGGGCGCTGGATGTTAGCTAACCCTGTGATATCACCCCCAAGCTTGCTCTCACCTTTATACGTGCCTGTATGTCTCATGGGGAGCAAGATGGGGTAGGCGAAAGGAGAATCTTCCCCTTGGGATGAATGAAATATCACTATTCCATTCTGTTCTATTCTCTTTACTGCTGACACAACGTTGCTAATTTCATGGCGTGTACTAGCACTCCATCTGCATGCTTTCAGAAAGGAAGCTGACAAGCCAAATAGGATCCACGTTCGCAGCAGATCAGACTTCCTGCACTCTGTACACTATTAATCACCGTCTACCATAATAGTTCTGAAAACGGAATAAAACCTAAAATCAATACTCACAGGTTGGAATTAGTCTCTTGGCAGAGGAAGGACACTGGACAGACGGCTTTAGCTATTCCTAGCCCTGTCTGCTTATTGTCCAGGCTGTAGTGTCACACCGATTCTTCTGTTTTCGCCTTTTTTGGAGTGATGGTGTCCAGCAGATGGTGAAGGTCTATGTCTCCGGGAAGCGGAGTAATTTTTGAGTAGTGTACAAAGACGTCTTCTAAATTATACCATGTCCATCTTGTCCTAAAAACGCTTTTATACTGATGGTATAGCTCAGCCCTGTTGTCATTCCGGATTTTAGTGGTGGATCGATGACGGATTTGCAAAATATGTCCCTTTCCTGCAGTTAAAGTTTAGGCGAGAGTTTGAGCATTTTAACATCCCTTAAAACCACAATTTAATTTTTTTTTTTGGAAAGCTACATTTAGCTTCAGATACAAGACATTTTCTCCTATGAAACGCATAATTATTATAAATGCGTCTTTCTAAAAGTATGAGTTGAAGCGACAAGCCAGCCGGCCAGCCCCGATGGCTCATATAATTTGTGACCTTGAATCGCATTTATGAAATATTGGCTTTCGGAATGGTGGTATTCCATAGACAAGTTACATAACATTTGGAACGCAGGAGAGTGATGTCAAATTTTTGAGAAGAAGCTTCTGGGGAAAAAAAAAATGCTGGTTGGGGCGGAGTGGGGTAACATAGGTTAAAACTGAACGTGATCTGTGCCAGTCTGTCCTGATTTTGGTTTATTTGAATTTCGGTACTTCAGAGACATACTTATGTTAGTAGAGTTACTGGTCCCAGTAATGGTAGAGCATCCCGAGTAATGGTGATACCTTTTTCAGGAATGTCCGAGCCTGCTGTTCACCAGGGATACGTCCCGGGCCCTGCCGGCCCTGGTCTTCAGCTGCCAGGTGGGGGTGGGCCGTACCAACCTGGCCATGATCCTGGGCACCCTGGTCATGTTCCAGCTAAAGGGAAGACCTGACGAATCCAAGTAAGCACTTACCCCTAATGGATGCCCTACCTGGTAATCAGTGAGCAGACTTGCTTTTCTAAATTGTTTTTATTAGCTATTTAATTTAATAGCTATAATTAGCTGTAATTTTATTAGCTACCTTTGTTAGAAGGTGCTACTTTTACGATAGTTTGTTAGAAGAGCTTGTCATAAGGAATATAGTAGGGTCAAATAGTTTGTCCTGCAAATCTCACAAATGTTAGGGTTCATAAAATGTATTAAAGATTCCCCTTTTGTGTAACACTGAAATGGTACTTAGATATTGAAGGACTGCAGAGTGAAAAGTAGCCTTTTGTTGCTTAGGAGAAAGCTGGTAACACCTCGTTATTCAGTCACAGTTTGGGTGCTAAAGAGCGCTTGTGTAAAGTAAGAGTTCCTCTCTGTCCACAGAACAGAGGAGAGTGCGGACTCGTTGAGACCGCACTTCCAGGTCATCCAGAGCTTAATCAGCAGGCTGCCTAATGGCCAGCAGGTCATTGAGGAGGTACAGTGCTTCTCCGAGCCTCATGGGAGTCGTGGCTCTAGCTGGGCTTGTATACTCACTTGTATACTCACTTGTATTGGGATAGAAGCCTCATGGGAGTCGTGGCTCTAGCTGGGCCTGTATACTCCCTTGTATACTCACTTGTATTGGGATAGAAGCCTCATGGGAGTCGTGGCTCTAGCTGGGCTTGTATACTCGCTTGTATTGGGATAGAAGCCTCATGGGAGTCGTGGCTTTAGCTGGGCTTGTATACTCACTTGTATACTCGCTTGTATTGGGATAGAAGCCTCATGGGAGTTGTGGCTCTAGCTGGGCTTTTATACTCACTTGTATACTCACTTGTATTGGGATAGAAGCCTCATGGGAGTTGTGGCTCTAGCTGGGCCTGTATACTCACTTCTATACTTGATGTCTGGGTTTTTGTTGCCATAGGAGAGGGGCGTGCGTCTAAATGTGCCAAGAGTGACTGTGAAATCGATGCGTTAAAGTACATCCCAGCTTTGTGAATCACACGTGCACCCACGTGTCTTGCGACAGGTGGACAGAGCGATCTCCCTGTGCTCAGAAATGCACAACATCAAGGAGGCGATCTATGACAACAAGAAGAGACTGGAAGCCGTCGGAGAGGATTATCAGATCCAGGCAAGGCCCCCATCCCCCATGTCATGAGCCGTGACTTTGCAGATGTTATGTCTTAGTGATGAATCAAAATGATTAAGAAGCAGAGTGTAGACCTAGCTTCTTTGATCTCACAGACACGCACCCCGGCTAGGTTTCAGAACTCGCCACCCTAGGAAATGTGTGTTGGAGAGCTTTGCTCTGTTTGAGTACCGAGGAGGCTGCAGTTTGTAGTGCTAATGAGCCTACTGATGGGCTGGACAGAAAAAGACATCTTTCAGAAATGCTCGCTTGATCGGGTCCTCCTCTGAGAATCAAGTCCCACATAAATCCTTTCAATGAAGACCATATCTGAGATATCGTAACACGTTGTGTGATCCCTGAAGAGGCCACGTTGACTATACAAATTAAAAAGCTTAAAAATTACAATCTTGAACTGTTAATGCTTTTCTACCAAACTGCTTAGTCCTGAAACACAACAGTTGTTTTTCTTGATACTGAAAAGATTCTATTTTTTTCACAGGGAAGTGGCACCAAAGAGTATTTCCTTAACAGGACCTTGCAGAGCCTTGAGCGGTACTTCTACCTGATAGCGTTTAACGCGTACCTTCACCAGCAGGTAGGCTACTGTCCTGTTTGTATCAGCCTACACCACAGCCCTTGAGTCTGTTTTGTCAGTGGACTGTTGAGAGTTTCTTCTCCTGGTCATTGGACCTGCCCGTTCCCTTTGCAGTACCCAATGGGCTTTGCGTCCAGCTTCAGCCAGTGGATGTGTGCTCACCCATGGATCTACAGACTACTGGCTCGCATGAACCTCTCTGAGCTCTCTGCGCCAGCAGATCTTGTCACTAAAGGAGCCAGGGTGTTGGTAAGACCTGGTTTCATTTGAAAAAGAGTAACTGCATTTGGACATGCATGGTGCATCACGCTGGGTCCTGATTCTGGTAACACTTTTTTATTTTGTAGTTGATAGACAAATTCTGGTTTATACATATAGACTTTAGGTTTTATTAAGCTTGTTTAATCACTTTTGTATAAAGCAACACAAGATGCAGAGTCTGATCTTTTGAGGGTAGAATGATTTTGACACATTCCAATTCTCAGAAGCCAATCATGTGTTGCCAGGTGGCCGATGAATACTTGGCCCCGGACGTCCTCAGCACAGTGAAGGAGATGAAGGTGGCCAACTTCAGACGGGTCCCGAAGATGCCGGTCTATGGGATGGCCCAACCCACGTCAGAGGTGGCCTTCAGCTGTTTGTTAAAATGAGTGCAATGTTTTGGCCAGTTGTGCAGTTAAATGGTAAAATTCAGATTAAATATCTTAAAGCAGTGTTTCCCAACCCAATCCTTGGGAATTCCTAGGCAGTCCATGTTTTTGCCCCCTCCCAGCACCCCTGAACCAAACAATCAAGGAATCGAGAACATTGATTACCTGGTATAGGTGTGTTGGGAGCTGGAGAGAAACAAAAACGTGGACTATCTCAGGGTCCATGAGGGCTGGGTTGAGAAACACTACCTTAAGGGTATAACGGTAAAAATTAAAAGTCAGTCAGTGGTAGGTAAACAACTACACTGCTATGGTGTAGTGTTAATATCCATTGACAATGTCAATAGCTTATGCTATGCGTGTTTGTGTACCGTGACGTGGTTCTTGAGGGCAGCACTGGTAGCACTGTTGCCTCACACTTCTGGAAGCATAGTTTGAGTCTCCACCATGTTCTCCCCTGGTCATCATGGGGTTTCCACTGGATACTCCGGTTTCCTCCCACAGTCCAAAAACATGCTGAGGTTAATTGGAGTTACCAAATTGCCCATAGGTGTGAGTGACTGGTTTGTGGGTGAACCCTACAATGGGTTGGCTCTCCATCCTGCCTTGCGCCCGTAGCCTCTGGGATAGGCTCCGCACCCCCGGCGACCCAGAGTAAGACAAGCGATTACAGAAAATGGATCGATGGACAGATGGATTTGGTTCTTGAGTCGCCCGCCATTCCGAACCGAAGAGGCTAACCATTTGGTGACCTCTCAGGCCACGGGAGCCGTGCTGACCTACCTGGCGGACGAGAAGCGGAAGCACACGCACATGCTGTGGGTGAACGTGCAGGAGGAGCTGGTGCTGGAGGGGAACGGCCAGGTTTTCACCCCTCGAGAGCCATGCTGCCTGGACCAGAACATCCCCATGCAGACCAGTGACCCTCAAGTCATTGAGGTAACCTGGCCTTCAGACTCCCTCTCCTCCTTCAAGAATTACCTCAAGACCCACTTGTTCCATTAATTCCTGTACTAGCTTGATGCCTCTTTATGTGCCCTGAATGTTCTTATGTTGCACATCTGGTCCTTGAATAGTCTTATTTAGGTTCTGGCTTTGGTAGGAGATACTGTGTAGCTTCTGCTCCAACACTGCTTACACTGGTACCTGGGCATTCGTTGGAAGTTCAGCCTAACTGCACTTATGCCTTTTCAACTACTTGACCGCACATAGGTTTGCAGTGTGCTATTTGCCTCACTTGTGTGTTGCTTTGGACAAAAGTGTCTGCTAACTATGCAAAAGGAAATGGTAAAAATGTGAAATGCATTGTTCCCTGCTCTGCACAGGTTTCTTTCTGTAGAGTGTTTCTGGATGCAGGAGTGTTTCACTAGTGGGAGTTCGCAATATCGCCAAGTGTTTCTTAAATTAAAAAATGAAATCGCACCTAAAATACGACTGCAGGGCTGCTTGTCCTAGTCCTCGGTCCCGAACTGCTTGAACTGCCCACACAGTAAAATTGCGCAGACCCCTGCCTGCACAGGATTTATGTCAGGAGTGAATTCTTGTCCTTAGAAACTAGAGACTGCTGTGAAAGAAGATATTCTGAAATCCCAGAAGTGGCTTGAGGTGACCCTGGAGCAGGAGAAGCAGATGAAGATGTTCAAGACCTGTCTGACGGTGCAGGAGATCTTCAACCAGCACAAGAGTGTTTATGAGGGCCTAGTGTACCAGCGCATTCCGCTGCCTGACTGCTGCGCACCGTGGGAGGAGGTGATCTGCTGTGCCGAACAGTCAGAAGGCTTTGCCGCAAGCTGCTGAATGAAATGTATACCGCAGACTGAAATTAAACCGTGTAGGGAGCTTGAAGTGAATGGAAGCACCCTCTAGTGGTGACACATTTTAATGACAGGTGTCAAAACTTTATAGCTGATTCCTCGTCTCATTTATACCTATATACAGTCATGCGTCGCCTAACATTCTGAGAGATGTGTTAAGAGATTTTGTCATTGTGCACAATAGTGTATACTTACACAAATCTAGATGGTATAGGAGGCTACAGTAAACTATTTTTTGTTAAGTGGAAACTCTAAAATAACGATAAATAGCACAGTGAAGTAAGTACATAAACCAGTAACAGTTATCGTTATCAAGTATTAAGTATTGAACATAATTATATGTGCTATATTTTTATACAACTGGCAGTGCAGTTAGTTTGTTTACACCAGCATTACCACAAACACGTGAATATTTTGTTGCGACTAAAACGTTACTAGGCGATAGAAAATTTTCAGCTCATTAATGTATCATCTTAAGGGACCACCATCGTATATGTGGTCCGTCGTTGACGGAAATGTCATTATGTAGCGTACAACTTTATTTAATTAATTCTTTGGGTTGACTTCTGGATATAACGAGTGTTGCATATAATATTTAATGGGTAAAAGTCAAAGGTTCACAGTAATACATGCATTTTTTGCATTTTGTACTGTGACAGCTGCATATCAGTGTGTCTTACAGTCTTTGTCCTACAGTGCGGGCAAATACTAATGTGTTTTGTAAAAATCCAGTTTATCTGCAGTGTGAACAACGAGAGCTTGTGGTTCTCAGGATTTTGACAGGCTGTTGGAGGCCCTGAAGGGCAGCTTAGCTGAAGACTCATGCTCCGCCTTTGTGTTCAACTGTCACGACGGCAAGGGCCGGACCACCACGGCCATGGTCATCGCCACCATGACCCTCTGGCACTTTAACGTAGGCCTCCTCTTGCCTTCATCCCTCTTGTCTAGTTTCCCACCTGGGTGGTCGTCACATGATCGAGGTCCTGTCGTGTCTCCCTCCTTTATGTCCGGCAGGGCTTCCCTGACTTTGGTGACGACGAGATCGTCAGCGTTCCGGATGCCAAGTACACCAAGGGGGAGTTTGAGGTAAAATGGAGCCGTGTGGCCGTCAGATAGGTACATACAGCTGCATTGAATGTGGTTTTCCTCCAGGGCCAGCATAAGCAAACTAAACAGCTGCTTAGGGCCCGGCGGCCACCAGGGGGCCCCCTCATTTGATGAGCCTGACAGTATGGGAAGGATGACAACACGTAACAACTAGGTTAATCAAATTTTGCTTAGTGCCCCAAAATGGGATGGGGTGTCCTTTCTTTCTTCTGAAAATCTGTTTAGCTCTCACAAGCCTGTTCAGTCGGAGCAAGACTATTTCTCAGAGTACCCAGATGAAGCTTTTCTGTCCAAGATTGCTGTTGATTCACATGCCTGTTACTTTTGAAAATGACGTGGGCCACCATGAAGGTTATGTTGGTTACCAGCTCCTGTCAGCTGTGATTGGAGGCTGTATCCTTTGGGGGAAGCACGCTAACTAGCAGTGTTTTCATATCTGGTGGATTTTTGTCCGGGCGCCTTTAACAAGGCCGTGCTGGAAGCAGATCGATTCCCTGGCAGCACCGCAATTGAAAATGTCATGGAGGGTGACTCATTGAGGCCTCAGCATTAGACCTTAGCTGTTAGCAGCGCAGGCTCTGTTGCCAGGGAAGGTTATTCAGACAACGTGCCATGTGGCAATTTTTTTTTCCGGGGAACGTGCTTCCCGCAGCCCCTCCATGAATAGAGGCCACCTCTGTCTCCCATGGACTCAGAAGCGCACAGCAGTCCAACTGTGATTCCTATTTTGGTAACGTAATATTACCCCAAACCATAGCTTCTGTAGTGGGAGGGGGACGCCAACCAAAGCCCTGCACGCTTAACTGAAGCCATATTGTTTTTGGGCCACTGAAGTTCTTCTGCTTTTCTCAACTGGTTCCAATCCCTGTAACCGCTTGGCGGTTGATCTCGGCGATCGGACGCCACACCCCAGAAGTCCTTCTCCAATCCCCCTTTAGGGTAGGGTAGTCCGTTCAAGGACTAGGACCCAGCTTCTCAGAAACCCTTTCTGAGCCGGGGATAGTTTTCTCAGGGACCTTTGGATTACCCATCTTTTTTTCTGCAAGAGGGAAAGTTCATGCAGATGCGTGTTTCTATCTTGCGATGCTGTGTTAGTGCTCTGCAGGCTTTGCCCATAGCACCTCCCTTGGAAGCTTCAGTATGTGTCCTTCTGGAACGTGCAGGTGGTGATGCAGCTGGTCAGGCTGCTGCCTGATGGTCACCGCATGAAGAGGGAGGTGGACATGGCTCTAGATGCGGTCAGCGAGACCATGACTCCCATGCATTATCACCTGAGAGAGATCATCATCTCCACCTACAGACAGGTAGGATGCTCCTTTGGTCCGATGTACTGATTTATTTTATCCAAAGTGATAGGGCTACAAGGTCTGCAGTGGGCGGGATTATCATATACTGGCAGACACCAGCCACTTCCCATTGGCTGCTTCATCAGTTCACTTTGGTTTAGTCCAGGAAGTGACTTGATACACAGTTAACCTTACAGTCTTAGTCCTCAAGCCTCATTTGACCATCACAAATCGTCACATTGCTGTCAGTACGAAATGGACCTTGGCACTAACCTTGAAAAACAATACTGCGGCTTACAGGTAACCCCCCCCGAAGTTAATAGTTTGTTTTTCCAACACTTGTTCAAATAAGGAAGTCTGTCTTTACGGCGGAAAAGCTAATGGAAGGAGCTCAGCTTGCAAATTATAGGCTAAAATTACACATGCTAACGGTAATGATGGCCAACCCCTCAACACCTGGTTACTAGGGTAGTCCTCAAATGGCCGTGTTGAACCGTTTCCTGAGTGCTTATGATTTCCATTGCTGTGGGGCGTCTCAGGACATGAAATGAATTTCTGACATAAGCAGGTAACTGGAGGGCAATTTTGTAATTGCATTTGTCCTATATATGTGCTGGCAATTATCTACTGATAGTGTAATGACGTTTATGACTTGTATATTGATGTTGCACTTTTTATAATCGGCTTATGTGGACTTTAAGGGTGTTTATTCCATCTGTAGCCTGTAGGTGGCATTAACACACTTTCAAGTCTGTTGTATATTTAATCTGGTGATAACTGATGTTTCGAGTCGAACAGCTCACACGTAAAACTTAGTTTAGGATTCATTTTTACTTGTATGACCGCAGCACTGTTTTCAGTGAGGTTGTAAGCTGTGTGTGTGGGGAAAATTAAAATTTTTAATTTTTAAGATATTGTGTCAGGAAGCCTTCATTTTAATGAATATCTAAAATTTACTTTAATGAAAGCCACGTTTTTACAAATTGGTAAAGTAGCTAGACCTTTAAAAAGAAAGATCTTTTAGTTTGGAAACTTAAAATTGAGTTTACATTTGGATTACATCATAATAGTGAATTGTTTTAAGAAGCTATACAGTCTGGATATGTCTTGCACTACTGGATATAATACTTTGACACTCTCTGCTGTGTTCATAGTGACTCTGTGTTCGTAGTGAATCTGTGCTGTCCACGCGGATTATAACAGGCACAGGCTCACATCTCTGCAGTGCACACAGGCAGGAGATGTGCAGCTTCTTTCACATCAATGGGCTTCATAGTGCCTCTGTTTTTGCCTCTTCTGCGTAAAAGAGCCTGGCCTATTTTAATGTGTTGCTGCACATCCAGTACTCTTGGGGGAGCTATTCCATTATCCTACCAGCCCAAACCTCTTTTTCTGAAATGAGAGTGTGAGAGATCCCCACTCTTGTATGCAGTGACTGTCACACCTGATTATCTCCTGTATCGAGGTGTTTGACTGTAACCCCGCCCTTGGCCCCCAGGGGGCGGGCTTCAGGTTGGCACCCTGTTCCGCCTCCCTGGCCTTTGGCCTCTCTGCAGTGGAGGGGCACACAGATAAGCAGTGCCAGATGTGCGCCCACCGCACAGCCCCCGGAGAGCCACGGATTGTTTCCACGGCAGCGGGGCTTCCAGACCGCGTCGTGTTGGAAGATGTGTGTTTGATAGAGGAAATGCTCGGGTTCATAACACAGAAAGGCGAATGCAGGGAGTGGGGGGTGAGGCAGAGACCCTTCGCTTCTGTCCCGCTGGCGAAGCACGGCCAGGTCTGGCTCTTACCTCCCAGCGGCTTCGCCTCGACCTGGCCTGATAGCTTTAGAGTCGCTCGCCACGTTCCGGGAGTGAAATTCGGTACAGATGCGCTGCATCTCCTCCCCGTAATTTTTTTTCTTTTTCTAATTGCTTCTTGGTGCTTTCTTGGGGTAAACATGCTGCGGAGCAATATCAGATATCGTCTGCAGTTTTGGGGTTTTTCAGAATTCCCGTACGCCGAGACGATTTGTGGTTAGCTCTGTGTATCTAGTCTGAAACAAAACAAAAAAAGAAAAAGACAAAAACATGGAACAGAGGACGTGTGAAAGGTATTTAGCCTGAACAAAAGCAGCCCAGTTCTCTTCCATAGGCAAGCTAGACGTAATTATTGCTATATTAACAGGACCCTGGCAGGTCAGGAAGGGGTTAAGAGGGAATAATGCCCACATGCTGTAATCCTTTTTGCATAATCTGTCCTGTTGTATTTCAGTGCCTTTAATGGGCTGCTTTCTTTGTGCTTTTGGAAGGGAAGCCTCTCTCTGCTTTGGGTCTCCACAGTGTGTTTATAACCCTGTCCACTGCCAGGCCTCAGGGCTCTGCCTGCGTGTCTGTGGTCTTTGTCCACTGCCAGGCCTCAGGGCTCTGCCTGCGTGTCTGTGGTCTTTGTCCACTGCCAGGCCTCAGGGCTCTGCCTGCGTGTCTCAGGCTGCTTGATTTGGTTGTTGTACTAAAGGTGTAAGTTGAATCTTTTGCATCTGTATTAGTCACAGGATGTGGTAATTTAGTTAAATTATTAGCATAAACTAGCAACTCTAACCCTGTTTTTGCTCAGTTGCACACTTCCCTTGCATGCCGTTCATAGGCCCAAAGCATAATGCTTTCGTACATGCATGCCAAACCCGCCAGTCCCTTTTGTTGACTTTTATTATTGCATATTATTAGAAGTATATATAACTTCTTCTAGTTGATTCTGCACAATGCTAGTTGTATTCTGTGGGTGGGCATTGTGCATTTTTGTTGGATCCTGTTTGATTATGTTGATGTTGCAGAGTAATGGGCTTCATTAGGGAGTCAGGGGTTTTGCCAAAGAGGGAGTTGAGAGCCCTTGTACTCAGATGCCAGGACCAAGTGAGCGTGTGACCTCAGGGAGACTGAAAGAGGGAAGTTAGCCAGCGTTTACGCTTGTACTTGAGTTCAGGTACAGGCCTTCGTCTTCCTATCCAGCGAAGAACGCTCGGCTGATATGATTCGGGAGAGTATATGAGTATAAGCAGTTGTTAAATGCACCGTCTCATTGGAGACCCAAGCTGAAGAATGCTTTCATGCTGGTTGAAGGCAGCGCTGGTTCTCAGTTTCTTTTGGGTAATATAAGATGCCTTCTGTAGCGCACGCGTATTTTCCTCTTTTTGTAATATCCTGTGCTCCCCGGTCAGATGAGCTGAGCAGAAAAGCGACGGCTTGATCTCTCTGTCTGACTCCCCGCCCAGCGGCGCCCCGTATCTGCTGGGGTACGGCCAGCCTTCTGAGACCCTCCAAAAGAGACTTGACACCATTGTGATCGTAAATCTTACGGGGAGGCCAAAGATGAAGGAGCGGCGCGTGTTGCGGGCCAGCCGGTCCGGCCTCGGCCTTCGGCACCTGGAGATGGTTGAGCGGTGTTTTCAACACACCCCGGAGGCTGCAGACCTGCTCCAGCGGGGCTCATGTGGCGTGGACATCAATCATGAAGCCGGGCTGCGAGAACTGATACCGTGTGGTCAAAGACTCGATAAGCGATGGAGTTTGTTATTGCTATGTGCACGTTGTAGCTAAATGATTATGATGATTAATGCCGGTTTCCTTCAGGTACTCCAGTTTCCTCGCACAGTGCAAAGATAGTGGTTTGTCTATCTCTGAATTACCCATAGAGTATGTGTCTGTATATGCGCCCTGCAATGTTCGGACATCCTATCCAGCCTTCAAGTTCCTACTGTGATCTTGACCAGTATGAGTGGTTGGAAGTTAGGAGTAGTAGTAGTAGCAGTAATGGTGCGTTCGTTTTTCTCTCGGAACTCGGAAATTCCGAGTTGAGTGACATCACGTCCGACAATCT